ACCAAAATAAGATCGTTTTAAGGATACCCCCTTTGATCACTGCGAATTGAATCCCATTGAAATGATTTCAGCAAATATAAAAAACTATGCGGCTTCAAACAATAGAATTGAATGTTCTGACGTTTGGACCATTGGAAATATAGCATCGATCATGTTCAAGAGACAATCGAAACCAGTGGCGGCTCGTGCCAATTCAGTGAGGTAGTGCCAGAATGGAAGCCATAATTTTGAATCGATTCAAAATTGTAAAGAATAACTTATAACTTACCCCTGATAGTTAGTGGTCAAAGTTCTTGAGATTCAATAAATCTATATGTCCAAAAAAAAAAATCAAAAATAAAACTATTTACACACGCGCACCAAATTATAAAACAAGTGTGGAGAAGTACCTATAACTTCAAAGTTTTCTATATATGAAGTCCATTCTTCTTTCTTTTTTGGTAGCAAAGATTTCGATTACCTTATTATTAAAATTTTCAATGCCACTAACAAAATGTTTTTCTGCAGACAGCATTCCTAAAGCACTAAGCCTTTCTTCCTTCATTGTGTTTCTGAGGAAACTTTTAATCCGTTTCAGCATTGAAAAAGAGCGTTCTGCTTCAGATGTTGACATCGGTATAGTGATTAAAATACTTAAGAGCTTAAGAGTTTTTTGAAACGTACAATTTAATCCTTCCTCGTTCAATAAAATGGATAGTGGAACACAGCTCCAGAAGTAGTACTCAATTCTTCTCTCTGATATAATACTTGTAACTCAGTTTTAAGCCTGTTTTTGTCTAAAAATGAAAATTGTGTGCATGTGTCATTTAAATGTGCTTCAGGAAACTGACGTTTATAAACAGAAAACTTTTCAGACACAAATAAATTAGAAGCAACTAAATGCCCAGAAAAGTTAAATCTTGTTCTTATTTGCGATAATACTGCATCGCATATTTCTAACGCTTCCCGTTTTTTGCTGCCTTCTTCAACTTGCCTTTTTTTTCTTGCCGGTTCATCAGTTTCTCTCTGCACTCGTTCAATCTCGTCAATAATGCTATCCATTTGTTCTCGTATAGTTTGAATTGCTGCTTCAAAATTCTCTAAATCATTTTTGACCTTAACAGAATCGGTGCATACTTTTTGTAATTGGTTAAAGACAATTTCAACATGTGGCATTATTTTATGGAAAATACTTAGCCAAAATACAAAATTTGTATCTTGCAGCTTTAATTTGTACCCACTGGCTTGATTAATCGACGAAGAATCGCGTGAAGTACTTTCTATATTGTCCATAACTTCAATCAGGTCTTTCCTATTTTCATACACTGTATGAACACCTCGTGACTGAAAATTCCAACGTGTTTGGGAAGATCTTGGCAATCTGCGATTAACTATTTCATCCAAAATTTTTTTTCTTTGAGGAGACGTCGAAAAAAAAAGAGCACAATCCCGATAAATTATGGAAAAATATTCTAGCCTGCTTATTGACAGAGCATGCGCTTGTCATAGTTAGATTTAACTGGTGTGCATAGCAATGAACATAATTTGCAAGTGGATAAGTTTCCTTAATAATTTTTTGAACGCCATTCAATTCACCACTCATAACAGACGCACCATCATAGCTTTGAGCTATTAATTTGTTTGGATTTTGATCTAGTAATGGATTTACAACATTTAAGACGCATGCAGCGATTGATTTGGCATCGTGGGGGACGTAAAATCTCCAAAATCTCTCAACTGGTTGTCCTTTACACAAATATCTGAAAATAATAACTAACTGAAATTCACAGGCTACGTCCGTCGTTTCATCGGCAATTACTGCAACAAAAGGAGAATTTGCAATCTCCTTCTTAACTTCTTCATGATAAACATCTAGCATGCACTCAAGAAGCTCGTTTTGAGTTGTTTTTGAGGTACCCTTTGAATATGGACTTTCAATTCGTTGTCTAATTCGGCGCTAAAATTCACCAGCTCCTTAAATATGCCTCTGTTTTCCGAATTTTCCTTTTCATCATGACCCCTTAAGGCTAACTCAAATGCTCCACAAAACCTTATACAATTAATAATTTTATTCAATACATATCGATTCTTATCCACTGGATTATTATGTTTAATTAGATCATTGCGATAAGCCGAATTGAGTTGAGTCCTTATTATATTTAATTTACCAAGAATAGAAAAGATAAAAACATTATTCATATGGACTTTAGATTTTTCGTGGGTCTTCATTTTATCCCATATATGTGTTACAGGCAAAGCCCGAAGCGCGGGCAATCCTAGGAATGACTAGTCATTTCGCGAAGTGGCCAGAATATTCGGTCAAAGTCCGAAATACTCTTGAGTTCCGGACATTAACTGCGGCTCTTTTAGTCAATCCTAGGAGTGACTGACCCACCTCGTCAAAGTCCGAAACGAAGAAACGCTCTCCGGACTTTGACTAGGCAATCCTAGATGGGGCGAAGATCGGACTCTGACTGTTGCGCATTCAGTTGAGCACAAGCACTGCTATAGATGACATGTTCCTAACCTTATTTCTGTGTTGCATTTAAAATGAGTGAGACAACTGTCGGGACCGTTGAGGAAGACAACTTCGATGAAGTGAAGGTGAAATTTATGGAAAGAGTGCGTAGTGTACAGAGATCGTCGGGTTCGTTCCATATCGAAACGCAAGAGAAATATGACGAGTTGATTGCTGAAGTGGAAACTGCTAAGGCCGCTAAGACGAAAACGTCACTGCAATACCGACGATTAAGAAGGTATGATATTTGGCACGTTGGAAATGTGAAGAAATTGATCACACCCGTGTTAGACGACCCAAACGTTAAATTCTACATCACAGACAAGGAACTGTTCGACGTAATACACACAGCTCACCGTGAATGTGGTCATGGCGGTAGGGATCAAACGATAAAGGTGCTGAAAAATAAATACGCAAATGTTACGAAAGAGTGTATCTCGATCTATTTAGACCTATGTAAAACGTGTCAAAAGAAGAAAAAACATCCCAAACGGGGTTTGGTTGTAAAACCATTGCTTTTTAAGGAAATACAAGCGCGGGCACAAGTTGATCTGATCGACATGCAAACGTGCCGTGACGGTGACTTCAAATTTATAATGAACTATCAGGATCACTTAAGTAAATTCGTAATTTTGCGTCCCTTAAAAACCAAGACCGCAGAAGAAGTTGCCTACAATCTGTTAGACATTTTTTGTGCCTTCGGCGCCCCGTCTGTGCTTCAGTCAGATAATGGCCGAGAATTCGCCAACCGAATAATTGAAGAATTAAAAACCTTATGGCCTCAACTGACTATTGTACATGGAAAACCCCGCCATTCGGAGAGTCAAGGTAGCGTCGAAAGGGCTAACCAAGAAGTCCAGAAAATTTTGTTTGCATGGATGGAAGACAACAAGACCAACAGATGGAGTGAAGGCCTGAAATTCTGCCAACTTCAGAAAAATAACGCTTTTCACACAGGAATCAAACAAACTCCATTTGAAGTCATGTTTGGTATGTAAAATAAGGGCTATGGGAATGAGAAAAGAAATCATATTTTTAACTTGTTGCAGGGAGAAAAGCTCATGTTGGGATTCAGACCCTCCCGGATACAATAAAGAAGCTTCTTCGAACTGAGGAAGATCTTGAAAATGCCCTGATCCCATCTGACGGCGACGGGGCTATTTTAGAAACGACGCTTCAAGGAAATGAAGGCGTTCTAATGGAACAAGATTCTGAACCTACCGGTAGGTATTAGTACACTGAAATTAGCATAAATAGGGGAAATTGGAAATTGGAGTAAGAATTGATGCAGTAACAGTGACATCTTCTGCACATAATTATTGAATTGCGTAAAGTTACCTTCCATTTCCCCTGACAACCTATTTCTCGTCTAATTTTAATAAAGACTTTCACACAGGTACGAATGTATGCTGCGTTTGTCAAGAGGAAAGTTCTGGTGCACATACCTGTTGCATCTGTGGACAAATTATCCACGCGATTTGCGCAGACAATACTTTAGAAACTGAAGAGGGTTTTGGAAGTAAAGTAACGTGTCCGAGGTGTGCGCAAAAAGAATGTATGTCTGCAAATAAAGAAAAGGCAATTGATGGTCTTCAAGCTCAAGCGGATACTATGAAAAAATTGTCAAATCAAAAGTTTCCTGCGGTTGAAGTGGGAAACACTGTTACGGTACCAATTCCTTCTGTTGATAGGGCTAAAGGTGATGCTCGAAATTTGCTTTGTGTTGTAACAGAGAAAACTGAGGACGGGTTCTATAAAGTAGGTACTAGACATGGAACGATTAATACGTTGTTTTCCAGAAATCAAATTCAAGAATGTAAGGAACGTTTGCTTAGTCTTCATGAAGTGCCTAATGTTAAATTATCTTTAAGAGAAATTAGTGGCAAAGATTCCAAATTTGGCGGTCAGGGTTTTCTTAAATGCGATTGCAGTAAACGATGCATTTCTAATTTGTGTAAATGTAAAAGGTCAAAAGTTTTATGCAATTCTAAGTGCCATAAATCTAATGATTGCCAAAACAAATAAATGTGTGCTCAGTTTACTTAGGTATAGGTAGGTACCTATATACCTGCTAATATTTTATTGCACTATTGTATCGTTGTTGAACTCAGCCAATTTTCTTTTTTTATGTTAATATTAAAAAAATACATTTTAGTTTATTAATGATTAAAAATAATATCCAACATTTTAAGATAGGTATTTCATTTCATTTTGAAATGTTTCGCTCAACAGAGTTTTTATTTTGTGTGCCTATATGAGAAGTATATTTTGTTAATAAATGTTTATTATTTAATTAACATTATTTAGTCCAAGTCCGATTTTCGCCACATCTAGGATCGCCTAGTCAGAGTCCGATGAGCGTTTCTTCGTTTCGGACTTTGACGAGGTGGGTCAGTCACTCCTAGGATTGACTAAAAGAGCCGCAGTTAATGTCCGGAACTCAAGAGTATTTCGGACTTTGACCGAATATTCTGGCCACTTCGCGAAATGACTAGTCATTCCTCGGATTGCCCGCGCTTCGGGCTTTGCCTGTAACATATGTATAAGATCGTCTGTACCTTTTTTTGACCAAGTCTCGTCACCTCCAAATAGAACACATACAAAACAAAATAGTTTATTCGTTTCTTCACAACCTCATATCCAGCTGTTTTTATCGTACACATTTTTATTAAATTTGCGACAGCGCGATTTTTGTCCGCTACCACTTTGTTTCTCAATTTTTAAATCGGGTATTTGCCGTCCTAATTCTTTAATTTGCAGTTTTTGATCCAGCGAAAAACCACTAAATGAGTTTTTTAATATCCCGATTTTATTCATTTTCACTAGTTTTAATAAAACAGTAAAAAATATGATCACAAAACAGAGCAGTTCATTAACACTAGACGTACTAAAACAAAAACGTTATTTCTCACTTTTCAGGTAAAAAAAGACCGAAATCAGCACTAGACGTAATCATAACGAAACGACCGACCGAACAAAGACACCGCCGATATCATTTGATAACGAATTACGACTGATGATGTGCCTGACACAAATTATACTTGTCTTTCGCTATTCACCTCATATAAAAATGTCTAGCGTAGCGTTATCTCTGTCGCTCGTATGCGATGCTGGTAAAATTTCTCTCTTTTTATTTGGGCCGCCCAAAAATTGGCACAAGTTGATGACGTCAAGGTCAAGGCATGCTTTCCGTCTCTTCGCGTCGGTCGGGTGCAGGCGGGTGCTTGCGGTGTTGTCACGTTGTCAGTGTTGTCACTTCATATAATTTATACCAAAAAAAAAATGAAAAAGCAGAAAATAAAGTAAAACATTGGAAATTGAAAAAAATATTCTTTTTGAAGAAGACAAGGTAGTGCCATGGCACCATGGCACCGTGGCACTACCTCACGAGCCGCCACTGATCGAAACAAAGATCTGGACAATATGATCGATATTCAAATTGATCCTGTAATAATTAATTAACCATTAGGACGATGAAGTACTTCCAGCGAATAAAGAATTATGGAAAGTATGTGCACTTCTTTCTATAAAAAGTCATTTATTTTGTTAGATTATTCCAAGATCATTGAGGAAAATACGGACCTGTACAACCTCGCTTTTGGGCATGTTGTGTTTTGTCTGGAGGTAAATGGACTACGAATGGGGTATATAAGCGAGGGTAATGTATTTGGCGCCATGTTTTCAAGATGCCACCAGGACACATTTGATAAGTCATACTACTGAGCAGGTTGCGATTTCCAACGCGCTAGAGCTTCAAAGCTACTTCACCAATTTTGGAACTAGTCTATATTTTAGTGATACTTCACTTTTGTAATGAGAGTTGGATATCGAAATGCTTCGTATTATCCTTTTGATACGAATGAGCCAGTGTAATGAGCGGAATTCGGATTTCTCACATTTCGATCTCATTTTACCGATTTTGGAACAGCTTTATTCGAAGAACAAAGTACGCACAGATCCTCAGGAAAACGAACAGCCCGCTGAGCACCCCAATATCTATCAAGTACGTGTTCATGTCACCGTTCATGCTCATCTGGTCCAAGAATTTCTTGGGGTACTTGAAGTGGCAGTAGTCGATCTTGCATTCGAGCTTTCCTCTGTTCAGGCCGTAAATGGCAACCATGCTGGCTTCGAAGCCATACTTAAGGTAGCTCATGTATGGCAGCCATTTCAGGTAGTAGGGAATGTCTTCAAGGTTAGCGAAGAAGCCTGAGAAAAGCACCATGGGGATAGTGGAGATTGGTCCTAGAAATACGCCTCCCTGTGGACAAATGCAAAGTTAACATTGTGCTTGGTACCGCAACGAAATCGTATTAGTCAGCTCCAGTACCAAATGGGCATCGGATTCTGCATCTACGCATCCAATTTATCATCGAAATCTTCATAATCTCTGGTCAAATGAAACCACATATGTATGCATTACTTTTAACCGACGTTTCGGCCACCACTGTACCCTTTTTCAAATTCAAAATATTTTATATTGTCACGAAAATACCCTTCTTATTGTTCGAAATCTACACAATCTTATAAGACTCGCAACTAATTTATGACATATTTAGGCTGCACTACACTTTAGCGCATATCGCAAATATTTCATTTCTTATTTTAAAATTGACTAGTATGTAACTTGTTCGAATATATAATTTTTTCTTTAAGGAAGCCACTGCTTGCTATTTTATAGACCGTCAAAGTTGCATTTTGGATAGTAATACTCTGGAATAAAATACTGTTGTTGTATAAGCTGTTTTTTTTTTGCTTTTTGCACAAAAGGATGCTCCAAATCATTACCACATAACAGACACTGTATATTATTGTGACAATATTCATCCCAAAAAAGAAACTTGAATTATTTTAACGATGAAAATCGGTGAATATGTTTTCTTCTTTTATTTCAGATAAACATTCCCATCACTACACCACCATCACTATCATAATTTCTCCAACTATACTACAACTATTTAAAACTGTAATGACTCATACGCGTGATCAACACGTGATCAGAGCTCGATCCCGGCTTCATTCCAGTACAGCCGTATAGCGTACGACATATGTCGTTTCTGTAGCGGTGGTCAACAGCACAGACAGAGATGGAAATAATGGCTGGTAGAACCAATGAAATCAAAGACGCGCCTCGACCGGCAGACTCATAGGCGTCGGCAACGCATTGGAACGTGTTTGGTTGAGCGATCGCATATTGTGTTTTTATAAGAATTGTTGTGTGATTGTTATTGTTGTGGTTTCTGTGGTTACTGTTTTGGTTATACTTAACCATGGAGAGTACAAATGGCACGAGTGGAAGTACTGAAAGCCAGGGAACAAGTAGACGGCTTCGAAAAGCACTGAAGAGGGACGTGAAAGAAATCGTGCTCAACGTGTTCAATTATCTGAACAGAACTATGTCGCAGGGAGATGCACTCGCGCGTTGTGAAAGTATGACAGGCGTTCCAGAGTGGACCATTCGCAGGGTGGTGCATGAAAAGAAGAAAACTGGAGCTACTACTGATCCAAAGTTTAATTTGAAGGGACGAAACGCCGTTAAATTGGATGACGATAACAAAATGGCGTTAAGGCGAACCGTACATTCATTCTTCTTTAGGAATAAGATACCAACCCTCAAGGCTGTACATGCAGCGATCAAGGAAAATGAAGTTATACCCCAAATGAGCGTCGAGGTAATGAGGAAATCCCTGCACGAAATTAATTTTCGTTACGAAACGCGTAATCGGAAGTCAGTATTGATAGAGAGACCTGAAATAGTCGCCTGGCGTCGAAAATACCTACGCGAAATGATTGAATATAGGCGACAAAGCAGAAAATCTATTATTGGTCGAGACATGGGTAAATGCAGGTCACACAGCTAAAAAAACCTGGATAGACAAAAACGTAATGAGTAACCGACAAGCAAGCATTGAAGGTTTGTCAACAGGTCTTCGTGGACCGTCAGGGAAAGGTCAAAGATTGATCGTAACTCATATTGGTATCGATAGTGGCTTTTTAGAAGAGTGTGACTTGATTTTCGTCTCTAAGAAAGGAGGTGATTACCATGACGAAATGAATGCCAGCTGCTTCGAGAGCTGGTTTCAAGGGGTGCTTCAGCGAGTTGAGCCCAACTCTGTGATCGTCATGGATAATGCTTCCTACCATAGTCGTCGAGCCGAACGTGTACCGACTATGGGATTTCGAAAAAGTGACATGCAGCAATGGTTGCGCGAAAAAGGAATCCCGTTTGACGATTCATGTGTGAAAGAGGAATTGTATGAAAAAATTAAACCGCACAAACCTGCGAACATTAGTTACGTGACTGATGAGATGGCCCGTCAATGTGGTGTCACTGTGCTGCGGTTACCGCCCTACCACTGTGAACTGAACCCAATAGAGCTCATCTGGGCTCAAGTGAAGGGTTATATTGCGCGCCATAACACAACCTTCAAATTACCAAACGTTAAGGTTTTACTTGAGACTTCCATACAGCTAGTAACGCCCGAAGCTTGGCAGAATGCTATCCGTCATGTTGTGAAGGAAGAAACAAAAATGTGGCAGGTTGACCACCACATCGACACCATCATAGAGCCAGTTATAGTCAATTTCAAAGAGGAAAGCGATAGCGACAGTTTATTACTGTCAGATGTAAGTGGAAGCGACGATGAATAAAGGTAATTGCCAAATTTTTTACTTACAATATGTTTCAAACCACTCTTTATTAAGAATGTGACAAATCTAATTCACCCATGTTAAACATTCATACCCCGCCTATGAACAGCCGACTACTGGTAGTTAAGTGATGTTCACGTGAACATCGATGAGTTATTACAGTTTTAGATAGTTATAGTATAGTTGCAATATTGCCAAATCATGGATAATTTTTATGGGCTAATATAGTCAAACAAACGACGCGCGTGAATTGGAATTTGATTTGGCGATTTTCCAAGTTCTTTATAGAAGCAATTAGAGCTGAATATCAGTTGTAAACGCTTCTAATAAAAAGGCAAAAATCGCCTTTTTAAGGCGAATTGCTTATGATGATTAACTGAAAGGGATGGGGAGTTATTATCAATCGCCTCCACTTGCTGCTCCCTGGAAATACCATATGCTAGCCAAACGAACTATTTAATTTTAATAGCCATAATTTGAGTACTTTTATATGCACGCCGCTAGTGCATTTTTAACTGTTTAGGCACATACTGTTCAAAATTTTAGCTAATTTTCACTAAATATTGGGACATCGTCTTACAAAAAAGCCATTAACCTATATTAAAGAATTTGATTTAGCAAATAATCATATTTTTTTACTACATATTTCTCCCAAAAAACTACTATTTGGCAACAACGGGCAGCATTTGTCTTACATGTCAAGTAATGAATGCTATAAAATGCCCCTTGAGAATCGTTTCTACTTTCAAAAACACGAAAAAATTGATAAGGAATTTCAAGAAGACACCTCTACATAGTTTACCAAGTAGTTTTCAACCTTTTTCTTACAAAAAAAAAAGTTTTTTTTCAAGGTTCACATTTTTTGACTTTTCGCAAAAAAAAATTAATTTTTGGTCTTTATGCGTTAAAGTGTAGTCTTACCCATACTTATAACCATATCGTCTGGGCTACGTATGGTGACACGTTGGTCGCTGTTCATCGACTGTCCTCCATTCACTGTCGTCACGCCCATATATTTTGAAATCGACCAATCGAGAATCTCTACAGAACATCGAACGCTCCCAATAGCCACCGAGTTCCCGCTCGATCGCTCACGCACGTGAACGCAATCGCTCTCGAAGCTCCGCAAGCTGCGATACGTGGTGATGTAACTATGGTTGCCTAATTTTGCGAGATTATGTTTTCGCCCCAGTTATGGGGGGATGCATTATTCATTTGTCTTCCAGGTGACAGTTCATTCGTTTATTTTTTCTTTTCGCTGCTACTATACAGTGTGCTGTGACAAACTGGGTTTTTGCATTTTTGGAGGACTTTTGGTACTTTTAGTCATCGCTCTAAGGCCACAGTGTCTGGTAGCCAGTCTGCAACGGAAGCACTAAGTGCCTGCAAGATTACTTCGAGCATTGTATTGCAATGCAGGGAGGGTCTATCGCTTTGGATCCCCAGAACGGAAAAGAGCTGGGACTCAAGGCTATACTCAACTTTGCTAGAAGGGCGCGGCTTGAGGTTTAGAGAATGTAGAAGTGGCCGGTATGCCTCCTATTTTGTGATTTATTTATACATTCATATTAACATCATGGGACACGGAGCAGGTCGCAGCTGTACTATAAAAACATATAAAAACTGGAATAAAATGGATATTTTTTTACCTCAATATTGAAGGCAGCTCCAACTAAGAGGCCGTAGCTTTGAGAAACTAGAGCTATGAGCACGGCAGAAAGAAGAAACATGCCGAATCTTTGTGCATCCAAGGGTTGCGAGGTTATGAAATAAACGCCGACCACGTAACACGTTGTCAAGATTATCTGAAAAGAAAAAGATATATTATTAAAGTCCATCAATATTCCATTAGTAGCATTTTTGTTACCTGAAATGGTATATCAGCTAAGGTCTTAGCTAGATAGTACGCCTTTAAAGAGTACCAGTAGTTCAGATGTTCCCTTATAAAAATTGACATTTCCAAAGGAACTGAAATTAAAAAGCATCAGTTAGACTAACAGTTTTTGCTTCTCTATCTTTATATTGTCGATGACTTTCTATGTTGAATTCATATATGAATTAAATGAATAATGTAGATATGATAAGGATAGTTTAAAAAAAATCGAAGGAATACTTACAAGTTAAAATGGTAGGCATCATGGCGGTAAACATCATGAACATGACACAGAAAAACAAGCATCCAGCATTACTCATAACTTTGGCAGCATTGTCGCCTATATCGTAGTAGATGAGACCAATGAGACATCCGATGATGAAGTGTGAGACCAATCTCATTCGGGTTAGTGTTTTGTCCATGAGGATTATATACATACTTCGTTTCAGTAAGATCACAAATTGTTGCCATCCCGTTGTTGGAAATCCTGAAAAAAGTATAAAAAGGTATGTTAGTTCACAACGTACAATTTCGAAAAATTATTTCTTGAGATCCCAAGAAGGAATGTTTATACAATAAGGACTTGGCTCTGGTAATGCTTCGTTTTCCAGATACAGGGTCCCAAACTTCATGAAAATTCTTTCTTTTTTCGTCAAAATCTTAATTGTCTCTTAGACTATTCTATTAAAGCTTATGCAAGGTTAATGCTTTGCATGGTTATCCAAATCACCGCGCTGAAACCCCTTGAAATTTTCCATTTCTGGATTTGGGTTACTCACAATATTTAACGTACTATTTTTATACCAGCTTATGGTTCCAAGATTATTTTCTTCAAATATATAATGAAAAGCATTGAGTCGCAAAACATGAAAGCGTTGCCTCATTGCGCTAACAATAAAGACAGTATAATCCTGTATTCATTTGTTTTAACTTCTGTTTTGTGCTTCAAGTTTGGACTGTTAACGATTAATCAAGTACTAAAATAAAAAGATGAATGTTGCAATACATATGTTCTGAAATAGTTAATAATAAAATTCCATAGATACGGTTGACTTGAAATTTGAGTTATTTTCAGAGCCAACAAATCTGCTGATCGGCCTTGATCCTTTCAGAAAACCGGCTAGAGAGACATTACCAATAACAGGAAAAAAAACTACCAAAAGGAGAGCGGCACCCTGTATCTTAAAAACCAACTTGCCCTAAAACCCCCACCTATTGCTTCGTTATTAAGTAAATTCTTTTAGTCAAATTTCTTCTGAAAGTAGTACAAATCAATACTCAATCAATAAATCTTCAAAACTGCTGAACTGAAGCTCATGTATTTTACATCATTATAAAGGGAATTGAGACACCTTTAAAATAAGGTATTACTCGACCCCCCTTTCTATTTAAGATTTTACTGTTGGTCACACCCCCGCCCAGGGGGCTGTACGTGTTAACGTGATTTGTTGCCAAACTTGAGTCTCCCTCGAAAACAAAATAGACGGGTCGCCGCTCAAAATCATCTTCATTAAGTTCTTGTGCCAGGTGAATTTTATATGGATGAAAACTATGGGCCTTTAGAATCCGTTGGACAGTACGTCGACTAACACCACTCAGTCTCCAATTTGAGGGTTCTTAACGTAGGATCTACATAAACTTGCCCTAAAACCACCACCTATTGCTTCGTTATTAAGTAAATTCTTTTAGTCAAATTTCTTCTGAAAGTAGTACAAATCAATACTCAATCAATAAATCTTCAAAACTGCTGAACTGAAGCTCATGTATTTTACATCATTATAAAGGGAATTGAGAGACCTTTAAAATAAGGTATCACTCGACCCCCCTTTCTATTTAAGATTTTACTGTTGGTCACACCCCCGCCCAGAGGGCTGCACGTGTTAACGTGATTTGTTGCCAAACTTGTGTCCCCCTCGAAAACAAAATAGACGGGTCTGACCGTTTTTCCAAAAAAAACCTGAGCTGCCAGTAAATGCGTCTGTTTCGTTTTCGATGCGTCACCCTGTATACATTCTATTTAATAAATACGACTTTATTAGATAACCACACATTTCTAAAAATAAAATACTACTTGCAAAACTTTATGCAGCTTGCATATAAAACCTTTTCTTCTAGAAAGTAGTTTGAAAAAAGTTATAGGAGGGCCTATTTATAGCCGGACACCCTGTACACCCACACTTTGACGTATTTTTATACCGTTATCACAGTATAATAATAAGTTGAATATGGATGAATAACTTGCAAGGCATCATGACTAGGAATTTGAACAAGGTCATATAACGCAGACATAAATAACGTCTCCTTTAGATCATCTTAAGCAGTTTTCACCTTGGAGTTTGGAAAAATGACATGCGCAGTTCCCCATACTTCCCGATAATTCATCGTAATCCCCTGTAATTCCCCATGATTCACCGTAATCCCCTGTAAATCAGCGCAATTCCTGTTAACTCCCCGTAATTCCTGAAAAATCGTGTTGTCTGTACATCTAAATCTCCAGCAAATGACCCGTTGAATTAAGCCGATTAAGTCAGTTAAACAGGCCCATACAATTAGTCAAGAGCCTTTCTTTTCCTGCCCTACCGGTAGCTACCGTCCATCTGGCAACGTTGTCCCTTTCCACATCTGCGCGGCATCGCTAAAGCCAGTTATCCATTTAGAGCGTCGTCCGTGTAAATATTATTTCCGATGCAGTACGAATAGATTAGTCAGCCGGACCGGTGCGCCGGGCGCTGAGCTTAGACAGTAGGAGAGCGCGAATCAAAAACGTGTTTCTAACACTCTAGGTTTTAAAGTTGAATGTGCGAGGGAAAAAGGTAAGGCGGCAATATTATAGCATATTTAAACATGGTATACTTCTTCACGTACCGTTTTTCTCAAGCGGCGTCAGATGTTCCGAGGAGTCCAATAAACTAGTGGTGCAAGTGGCAGGAGTAGTGGGGGTTTTGACAGCTGACCCATTTGGCAACGCTGCAGGTATGCCTCCTCCTCCTCCTCCTCCCACGTCTTCGGGAGGCTTCAAAGGACTCGCTTCCTTGGAAATGTCATTGGCTATCAGGCGATTGCTAACGGCGGTGTCAAGAGCGAGATTCGCAAATTTCTTGCATCTGCCTGCGTTCACTGCTATCACGAGCTTTTGAAGGTAATCGCCGTGTTCCCCGCATGCCACCTCCATCACTAAAAACAAATTCTGGTTAGCTATACAGGGTGTCCCGAAAAAAGTGTGCAATAATCTACCAGCGGTTTCTAGAGCTTAAAATAAGAAGAAAAGTTTATATAAACATAGGTCGGCAAACGTCCCCTAAGGACGCTACGGTCTTTTAAAGGGGCTCCCCTCAAGATGGTTTTTCCTTAATATTTCCGAAACGTGTTGAGATAAAGACATAAAATTTAATATTCTAGCCTAGTTTTTATTCTGGATTTAAAAATATTAACAATTTTAGACAGTTTTGTTTGGAAGCGTATGTAACAGGGACGGACTCAGGTTATTTTAGCCTCAAATTTTTTGTGTGATTCGATTTTTGAAATTCAATTTTAGAATTTGAAAATTTCGGGTTTTCTACATAAAAAAGGTACTCTTATTGAATACCGATAAATTGTACCATTTTTGAATAAAATCAAACTAAAGAATTTGTCACATGATAGGAAATGTACTGCGAATTTAAATGAATTGTTGATTATACATAGTTAGCCATGACTGCAAACAAAAGTTGTTTTGATTTGTTATGACTTATTTTGACGTTAAGCTGACATTGTTAGCAGTGTAAAATTACTAGATTAAAATCAAAATTTTTATTAAATCGATTTGAAATGGCAAGATTTACAGACAGAACACTGACTGACATGCATTTTGTGTACGGGTTTTGCAATGGCAGTTCATTGACAGCCGTAAGAGAATATCAAAGAAGATTTCCCAATCGCATAGTAGCTGGACGTCGAATGTTTACTGATATTCACCGGAATTTGTCAAACCATGGAAGTTTTCAGCGCGTGCAGGGCTCAGGAAGGCCACTGGGAAATCATCGTATGGATATTGCTTTAAATATGTTTGAAAATAATCCGCAAACAAGCATACGAAATGTTTCAGAAATTATGGATATACCTCGATCAATAGTAAGAAAAATATATGAATACCTTTTTGATAGTTATCCTAAAAATAATAATTTTAGATAGGAAGAATGACAAGAATGCAAGGATTACATCCTTATCATTTAAAACGGGTGAAGTATTTAATGGAGGAAGATGTTTTACCACGAATCGAACTTTGCCTGTGGATATTAGCAAATGAAAACACTATTCCTAGGATATTATGGTCGGATGAGTCAATATTTACTAGGAATGGTGCTTTTAATCTCATAACATGCATCACTGGTCAGATGAAAATCCAAAAGTTGTTCGCCGTACAAATTTTCAACATAGATTTTCATTGAACTTATGGGCAGGAGTAATTGGGGATCAAGTAATTGGGCCTATTGTACTTCCCAATCGTCTTAATTCAGAGGTGTATCTGAACTTTCTGAACTGTGCACCAGCAGTTTCAAGAAAATATGTTTTTTCAACATGATGGCGCCCCTGCACATTTTGGACGCAATATTTGAAGTTTGTTGAATGTCAATTTTCCAGACAGGTGGTTAGGCCGAGGAGATCCTATAGCGTGGCCACCACGTTCACCTGACCTAAATCCATTGGATTTCTATTTTTGGGGGTCGTTAAAAGACCTAGTTTAATTTACTGAAGTAAATACTCAAGAAGATTTACTTTAAAGAATCCATCGGGTTGCAAATTAAATAAGAAGAAAAAGGTTTTCCACTTTTCGGGCTACGCAATCATTAGTTCGTCGAGCGAGACTCTGTATCCAACAAACTGGTAATTTATTTGAACACTTATTGTAAAGCTGATTTTAAGTATATCCAACTGTATGTCTTCTTTTTTAAATAAATTTTAATTTCGTTCGTAGAAAAAATTTATTTCTTTTGTTTTTGCCTAAATGTTAGCTATGTTGCAATAGAAATTATGTATTTATGTAATATTTACCAATTATTAAATTAGTTTTTTCATTGCCATAGCTAATTATTCAACAATTCATTTAAATTCGCAGTACATTTCCTATCATGTGACAAACTTTTTAGTTTGATTTTATTCAAAAATCGCACAATTTATCGATATTCAATAAGAGTACCTTTTTATGTAGAAAGCCCTAAATTTTCAAATTCTAAAATTGAATTTCAAAAATAGAATCACACAAAAATTTTGGGGCTAAAATAACCTTAGTCCGTCCCTGTTAGATACGCTTCCTAACAAAACTGTCTAAAATTGTTAATATTTTTAAATCCAGCATAAAAAAACTAGGCTAGACTACCAAATTTTATGTCTTAATCTCAACACGTTTCGGAAATATTAAGGAATAACCATGTTCAGGGGAGTCCCTTTAAAAGACCGCAGCGCCCTTAGGGGACGTTTGTCGACCTATGTTTATATAAGCTTTTCTTCCTATTTTAAGATCTACAAACCGCTGGTACAATATTGCATACTTTTTTCGGGACACCCTGTATATTTTAATAAATTGATCCTTGGTTATTTCTAGTTGCCTTACCGAAAATGCACTGCATCATATTCAATGAGAGACCATGGTAGGTATTCACATTTTTGAAAACTCATTCAAATCTGACAGTCCTCAGTAATGTAAGTAAAATGTAAAAAGTAAAAAAAAAAGTAAAGTAATGTTGAAAACGTGAATACGTACCCAGTGCTCGGGTTTAAATTGTTTTGATTTCGAGAATACTCTAGTCTTATGGCGAAACAGCTATTTGCACCAGTTCAAAAATGGCGTCAAGTAGGTTGACTCTGTACTTCCTACGCAACGCCATCATCCGTTCATAAAGGATTTAGTTCAGTGCAATTTAAATCTTCCGAGATTTAAAACATAAACAGCATAGGAATTGAACAGATGAAATCAGTCAAACAGGCCCATACAATTAGTCCTTAGGCATCATTTCCATGACATATCGGTAGTTACTGTCCATTCCTACATGACTTGAAATGTAACTATGATCATTAGCACCAATTTTGCTTGTAGCTTTTTTTTGTACGCGCAGGAACTTTTCTAAATAAAAGAGTTGCACAAAATGAATCAGTAAAGTACAAAAGACAACAAAATTCACCTCTGTCAACCTGGCGTTGACGGATCGTTCAGAATTGCGTGTCAGTTGTCGATATTTTCTACCGTAATGGATACTCGTGAAAAAGGCAGTACAAAGAAAAATTGATCACCTTCAGAACAAATTCCATGGACGTGTTGATGTTGCCTTTTGCATCAACCTTTCGTCTTGTAAATGTAAGTTAGAGAACAACGCCTACACGTTTTCTTCACATTTTTGGCAAACAAAGGTCTAACTTGACATGTGGTTTCAAAGTTTTTCTAAAGACTGTCAATATCTAAGCGGACAATTTATGTGTCCCCTTCGAGAAAAAAGTTCATACGAATGAATGTCCGTAACGTCTTAGCTTTTTAGATACAGGATGATAGAGTTTTCAAAAAATGATAATCACCGACTTCTCTTAAGATAACGAATAAACTTAAGTTTGTATTTATGAACGGATTTGATCTCTTGAATTTGTTTAGTCGGACCCAGCATTTTCATTTAAAAAATGTCTCTGGACCATCCAATATGAGCCAAAAAAGGCAGGTGGAATTCCTTACGAACGTCACTGGTGGAAATAAAAAATTTCCTCTTGACACTACATACATGCCAAATTTCATTAAAATATCTAAAGCAGTTATTAATGATATCAATAATAAATTATTAATTTTTGAAAGCTGAACCACCCTGTACGCTAAAAGTTAAGACGTTCAGGACATACGTGCATATGAAGTTGTCGTCTTAGAATGGACCCAGGAATTGCCCGTTTAAATTTTTAATGTTGAAATACAATTAGCAAACTCCCTGTAGCTGCTTTGAGCTGATAGTGGCGGCGTTCTCATTTAACAATAATACTTTTAAAGCGTCTTTATTGATTTTAATAAACAAAGAAATTATGATATTATATACCACAATACCAGTGGCGTAATCTAGCTAATAGCTATTCTACTTAACTACTGGAGGGCAGGGCCCAAATAAGTACACTATTGAAATAGTATTAAATCAAAAAATCTAAAAATTAGAAAAATAGGAACAATGAGGTTTTCCAAAAAGAGTTGAGCAACGCAGGCATTCGCAAAGAAACATACATGTTTTCATTATGCTTTTAACTTTTTAATACCATACAAAATTTACTACGCCAGCGACACTAAACTTATGTTAAAAAGAGTCTTAAAAACCTCTGATATTCACCTACAACCATCTATAAACAATAATAAAGAAATAACAAAAAATTGAATTTAAAAACTACTATTATTTTCATGCTGCTGCATATCAAACAAATAAAGTTTTAACTTGAATTTAAACTTGTTCATGTTTATAAGCTTGAATTTTTGTGGAGGCTGATTATACATCCCGATCGCATTATACAGGGTGTCCCATAGGTAATGGTAAAGAAATTAACAGCAGATTCCTTTCAAAGAAATATTGAGATAAATTTTAATTTTCTTTGTCCGTAAGTTAAAGGTCACCGAGATACAAGGTGATAAACTCGTTGTAATTTTTAGAATTGTTAATTTGGCATCTATTCTTCCTTTTTCAACTAAATTTGGCATATGAGAGTTTTTTATATGACAAATCTAAGAATCGGTCTATTTCAAATTGTCTTATAGAGCGCGCCACCAGCAACATTCTCTGTTTTTTAAACTTCGTAGCCTTTTACGCTTGGTATAATTCAATTTTTTATTTAAAATACTCATTTTGCAATCATGTTTACCTAAAAAAGTTATACCTACTTTAAGAATCTCGCAATAATTCAGCCTTTTCGAGATATGTACATTTAAATCTTTCAACGCTCTCAACAAAAAATAAGTACGTCCATAAACTATTTAAATTACTTTATTATACATCGAATCAATGGTAAAATACAAATGATGAATTAACTTAAAATTAAAGTTTAACCAGAAATAAAAATTATCGATCGTTGCCAGCAAATCTTCGACATGACTTCCATCTCTAAACACAATTTATAATTCTTTTAATGAGATATTGCCGAATCTTGAAAAATAATAATTGCTCATTTCGAAATGATTCAGCAGCTTTCTGAATTTTTGCCATTAATTTATCTCTTGTGTTTACTGTATTTTCGCAACCAATTGATTTCATATATCCCCACGCAAAAATCTAATAGGCTGAAATCTGGACTTCGTGCGGGCCAAGGTCTTCGACTCCCACGTTCTATGCAGTTAAAATTAGCGTCAGGATATTATCTCACCGCTCTAGCAAAGTGCGCGGAAGCACCATCTTGCATAAAAACCATATTTCGGCGCAGATTTAAAGGTAATTCTTCTAAATAATCAATGAGTTTTGTTTTTAATAAGTTTAAATATAATTATCCGTTTAGATTTGGAGGTAACTCGTATGACCCCAAAAAAAAAAAAATCTATTACACCACCCCAAATATTAGTTTTGAGTTGTGGGGGGATCTTGATTTTGTTGAGCCTGCAAGTAGCGGGCGAAATCTAGTCTTGCTGATCTGCATCAAAAAAATGTATATAGGCGTAAAATGATATGAATGCGATCTACTAATTTCGGTTCTTGCTGCCATACGCTTATTTCTGGATCTTCAGCAACCTGGAATAACACACTTCTTCTTGCTCCACATTAAGCCTACGGAGTTAAAAAAAAAAGACCGAAAATGTTGCTGGTAGTATTCTCTATTAGATAATTTGAAAAAGATCAATTTTTATATTTGCCATACAAAAAGCCCTCATATGCCAAATTTTGTTAAAAACGGAGAATGAATGCTAAATTTATGACAAAAATTCAGAAAAATTACAATAAGTTTATCACTCTGTATCTTGGTTGCCTTTGACTTTCGCACTACGAAAATTTAACATAATCTCAATATTTCTTCGAAAGGAATCTGCTTCTAAATTATACTAAGTGACATATAAATTCGAACACCCAGTTTAAATGGTTTTATTTTAATAAAAGTTGGTGAATGTATTTATCTTACTGTAAATAACAAGTGAAAAAATTGTCAGCCTTATCAGTTGGACATTCCGGTTTTTATACTACTTTTTTTAATTCACTAACGCTCTAAAAATGAATATTTCAGCCGCAGTAAAGAATCAACGTTGGCGGATTTTGGTTCTTGACATCCTTTACGATCGGTTACGATGCCCAGAGTACGGAGACCTGTACGATTTCGTCAACTTAGTGAGTTTGATAGGGGCCGTATAGTGGGACTTCGGGAAGCTGGACTTTCTTTTCGGGCAATTGCAGTTAGAGTGCAAAGAAGTGTAGACACTGTGGTTAGGTGTTGTCAGGCCTGGCTTCGAGAAGGTCGTACGCAAAGAGCAAGGGGCACTGGACGCCGCCGTAGAACAACAGACCGTGAAGATCGCCGCCTAAGATTATTGGCCTTAAGGGACCGTTTCTCCACTACCAGGTCCATTGCAAATGAATGGTTTGCAGAACACGGAAGACCTATTGGCATGCGAAGTGTTTACCGACGAATGAGAAGTTTTGGCTTGTTTTCATACCGGCCACACAGGGTCTTCCCTTTAACTCGAGAACACCGACGTAATCGCCTTGAGTGGTGCAGACAACGGTCACTCTGGGATCAGGAATGGAACAGTATTGTCTTTAGTGACGAGTCTCGATTTTGTTTAGGCATGCACGATGGTCGTGCCAGGGTTAGAAGGCGACGTGGTGAAAGGAGGAATCCACAGTTTTTTGTTGAAAGACATGTTCATCACACTGTTGGAGTTATGGCTTGGGGTGCTATAGCTTATGGTTCCAGGTCACCTTTAATCTTCATCAGAGGTAACATTAACGCGCAGCGTTATATCCACGAAGTTCTAAAAACCCATCTTTTACCCTATCTTGACACCCTGGCAGATCCAACTTTCCAACAAGATAATGCCCGACCATATCTAGCAAGAGTCACAATAAACTTCTTTCAACATAATGATGTCACATTGTTACCATGGCCACCAAGATCTCCCGACTTATCCCCAATTGAGCACGTGTGGGATATGATGGATTGGAGATTGCTCAATTTGCAACGTCCTCCTCAGACTCTAGAAGCACTTCGAGAGGAGTTGGTGGTTGCCTGGAATGAGATTCCACAGGAGGATATTGACCACCTGATCAGAAGCATGCCTAGGCGCGTTGGAGAATGCGTAGCACATCAGGGTGCATCCACACATTATTAAAGGTCAAAGGGCTTTAAAGCAGTGCAATTTTTATGAAATTTTTATCATTTACTTGTTATGCTTCATTAAGTACTTATACAAAATTTTATTAAAACAAAACCATTTAAACTGGGTGTTCGGATTTATATGTCACTTGGTATATTTACCATTACTATGAACGATCTTTCGTGAATCTTGCGCTGATGATCTGTGTAGTTCAATTTTGATCCAATATTCAGATGATGAGCATCTCTGCGAGATATGAAATGTTTATATACCAGCCCACAGCAGCTCTTTTGAACCAGTCACATTTTTGATATACGAGCATTAGTCAAAATGTCATCAAGGTTTCACAAAATGTTTTCCTTGGTTTTATTCCCGGAAAATGTCGACTGGTATGATTGATTCTTAGAGAACTGAATGCTTTATTTCCCAGAGTTTGAGTATGCTCAGAATCGCGCAGGAACTTAGCTTACCATAATCCGCTGGGTTGTGATAACTGGGACAATTCAGCCCCATACTTGATAAGAACGGCACAAGACCCATGACCGGCCCCCTATATATGCACTGTCCCTCCGCCAGCATATACAGATGGTCAAACATCTCGAAGAGCCTCGCGGAAGGCTGATGGATGGTACAAATGATAGTCCTACCGCCCCTGGCTAGGGATTTCAACAAACAGAGACACTGAAAACACGAGGAACTGTCCAAACCGCTGGTCGGTTCATCGAAAAACATCACTGGTGGGTTGTTGACTAGCTCCAATGCGATGGAGAGACGTTTTCTCTGACCTCCTGATAGACTCGAGGAATTTGTGTCTATGCAGTCTTGTAGTCCTAGTGTCTGTGAATAGAGATAAAATGAAAGATGAAAATAGTTGGCGAAAAAGAACTACAAAGTATGCAGTAAGGAATTTTCTAATGTGAACATCCCATTCTGTCACGGAATTTAGCTAGAAGAGGCTCAAAAATAGAGGCCATCTATTCACTACGATGCACTTGTTACGCTCAATACAGGGTGTCCGCAAAGTTGGGGTTTTCCTTTTCAGAAACAACTACCCTTGAAATAACAAAGGTAATGTGTAGTGAAACGAGGGCGACCAAGTAAAAAAAAAATAAAGGAAAAAGTACTCACTCTCCAGTTGACGAGAAGGGCTAAGTACGTCTCTGCCCGAAATCATACCGCTCCAACAGAAAATGAAATCAGCTGATGCGCTACCGAGCAGACGCAGGCAAACAAGGAAGGCAAATGTTGCATCCCGTCCAATCGATTTGGGAAAATAAATGGTCCAATGAGCATACCGTTCACCATGCCAGCCCAAACATACACCGAAAACGTTTGATGGAAATGTGTCCGACGGACAGCGTGCGGATATTCTACTGACCAAACATGAGTGTTGCGAAAGTTATTCACCCCATTACGCGTGAACGTAGATTCATCTGTCACCAATATGCACTTCAAAAAGTCCGGATTATTGTCATGATGATGCAACAACTAATCACAAAACCGCACTCTTGCTGGAAAATCGTCAGGTTGAAGGGCTTGTACACGTTGGACGTGAAACGGATACAGCACCTCTTCACGCAGCGTTTGCCACACTTTAGATTTTGATATTTGCATTTCTCTAGCCACGTCTCTAGTGCTTGTTGTTTTTTGAAACGCAATCGATTATACGGGTTCGTTTACCTCTACACGCGTGACCGTAACCGTCGGTTGAAGGTTGCATACTGACCTGACACACTGACCACGACCCCCGACCCAGTTCTGTCGTCGGGTTGAGCTAGTGTCCTAGTACCAGTCGGGGATGTCCCGAGTCGCGGCTACAGGACGGTATTCAGATATTTTTGATGTTGCAGAGCCCTTTATCTGGGTTCCCTTAAGACATTGGTGTATATGGTACTAAGAAAAATTGCTTATGTTTTCAAGATCTACACGTCGTGTAAAGGAAAACCCCAACTTTGCGGACACCCTGTATACTTATAAAGACTTCTCTTTATACAGATGTTGACCCTTGAAAAAAAACAATTGTTATTCCCATACACCGGGCGTCTCAAATTCGACCATCACCATTCCTCGGAAACAGTAGGGATAGGAAGTCGCTCAAATATGAGAAAAGTTGCGTATTTAGGTAACTAACAAAATGTCGCTTAGAAAAGTTCGAAATTCAATATACATTTGGAGAAAGACTGAAAAAACAAATTTTACCTAAATCGTTTCAATGTTTCGTGACTTTATTTTGAATGGGATCTTAAGATAAATTGTACATTAACATTGCCTTTTTTCTTCTCTATACGATGGCATAATTAGAATTGCAATATGACGTTTCGTCTCTCGTCCTCCAGCATCAACTTTGTTTTTTCTTATGGACGCCGTATTGGAATTTTGTGCAGATAAATAGTTTTCAATTCTGATTTCACAAAATGTATGATATGCCATACATTAGCATTGCCAAACCGTAGTCTTTCAAGAAAAATAAGTTCCCAGGTAGGCCTTGAAATCATCAGATAGTCATTTGTTTCGTATACCAACCAGACCTTAAATTGAACATAGCAACACAGTTTGGAAGACTAGGAAGGGAAATAAATCGAGCACTTAAACAATGTACAGAGAAGAGTCAGGCTTTGCCTTGCGGACAACATTTTGAACATTTGCTATGATTTATCTCTGACTATTTATGATTATTATTGGTATTACCATCAAGAAAATTTTCATTCTGCGTTGAGGTTTCACCATACCTTTTGATCTCCTTATAATTTTCATGCAACAACAAATTCATGGCTAACTAAGGAAATACGTCACTGATAGAACTAAAAAGTCCATTTAAATGTACAAAATTCCAATATAGCGTCCATATGAAAGACGAAATTGGAGACGGAAGTCGAAATGCGATTTATTTTGAAATCCCATCAAAAATAAATACGATTTTAGGATAAATCCAGAATACGCAACAAATGACTATCTGATAATTTCAAGGCTCACATTGTACATTTTTTTGAAATAACTAATGTTTGCGATGTCAATGTATGTATTTTTGGAATCAGGATTGAGAACTCTATTCATATGTGTAAACCTCCAATATGGCGTCCTTAATAGAGTTCCTAGCGGACAAGAGACGAACATCATATTTAATTTCGGATTATGCCGTTTTATAGAGAAGGAAAATTAGCAATGTTAATGTGCAATTTGTTTTGAAATTTCACTAGGTACAAATAAAGTCAGGAAAAACTTAAAACGATTTTGGGAAAATTCGATTTTCTCCGTCTCTCTCCAAGTACTTTGAATTTTGAAACTCTCCAAGCGGCATTTTGCTAATTACCTAGATACGCAACTTTACCTCCTTTAAGCGACTTCGGGATTCTTACAGTTTCTGAGATCCCAATTGTGGTTGAATTCGAAACACTTCGCAAAAGTATTGAAATAGTAGTTAGAGACTTTCTTAAAGTCAACAAAATATAGGCGACAACCAATTTGGAATTCAAAGAGCAAAAAAATATCATGGATGCAATTTATACATTACTGCATCGGTTGTACTTAAAATTAAGCTATAGACATATTTCAGTTGCTCTTTTTGTGACTTTTCTGAAGCTTTTGACTGTGCGAATCATGATATACTCGTACTATCGAAAAATTTAACAGCCTCACTCGTTTTGTTTAAAGCACATTTACATAATGGATACCAAATTGGATAATTATCAAGATATTATACAGGGTGGCCAATATATAACTGACTGATTTAAATTGCGCGCCATTTTTGATACAAACACTTCAGTAGGTGGCTCCGTAGTAGTTGTTTCAGGCACATGTGTCCAACTCATCATGGAGCGCTACACAACGGCGTCCCTGATAGTTGCGCTACCGTTGATGATTTTTCTTCATCAGAATATTCTTCTTCTGAAGCTTCCTCAACCGAAGAATCTCCCGAGATCCCGCATTGCACACCAGCAGAGCTTCAAGGTCATTATGAAGACCTCAAGGTGCGTAAACTGCCTGGGGAGGATCAAATCACAAATAAAACGCTGAAGCTGCTTTCATGGAAGTCCTTGACTTATCTCGTGGCTATTATCAATGCCATGCTAAGGACCCAGTACTTCCCATCCGCGTGGAAGACCGCTGAAGTTATAATGATTCCAAAGAAGGTGGGTTCGATATTTCCCCAGGATTATCGTCCCATTAGCCTGCTGTCAGCTCCGTCTAAGCTCGCTGAAAATGTGATTTTACGTCACCTTGAGAATTTCTCGTCAGATCAAAAAGTGATTCCTGAAATGCAATTCGGTTTTCGGTCTGAACATAGTACGCAGCTACAGGCGGTTAGGCTGGTGGAACGAGTAACCAGAGGATTCACCCTTAACGAAAGTACTGGCATCTTGCTTTTGGATGTCTCAAAAGCATTTGGCAAGGTGTGGCACGCGGGCCTCCTGTATAAACTAATCCAAAAGGGCTTCCCTTTTCGGCTTCTAAAACTACTGAACTCCTTCCTTGAAGGTAGGAAATTTCGGATCAAAATTGACAATGTGCTGTCGACATCACGGCTGATTACAGCTGGCGTCCCTCAGATTTCGGTCCTTGGACCTATCCTTTACTCACTGTACATCCAGGAACTTTGGAGCATTTTGAAAAAACCTTTAGAAAAAATCCAATATTTTTAGTGATTTTAACAATGCCTAGACGCTGCCTACCCTAAAAGATTATCTTCTTCCCCCTTGCTCTCGTTCTTCCTTCTCTCCTTTCCTTCCCTTTTTTCCTTAAAATTGTGTGGTTTCTGGGTTACCAAACCTGACAGACTTACAAACTGACACTGTCTAAGGTCCCACGGACCGCTCTGACAACCATCGATGACTTGACTGACTGAGGAGTGATAATTGTTAGTTGGGCAGAATTGTCGTATTTGGACATTTGAGGACCTCGTGTCATCCATCAACGACCACTACATCTTCGTCGCGTCACAGTATGGTGCGGTGTTTCGCATGGAGGTATCATTGGACCTTACTTTTTTGAAGACGCTGCAGGTAATTTTCTCACTGTCACTGGCGAGCGCTACCGTGATATGGTGCAAAACTTTCTCGCTCCTCAAATATAACAATTTAATCTGCAAAACATGTGGACGGGGCAACTTGTCACACAGCTAGAGAAGCAATTAATCTTTTGCGAACAATATTTCCGGGACGTTTAATTTCTCGGTTTGGTGATGTAAACTGGCAACCAAGGTCACCCGATAACTTTATGGGGATTTTTGAAAAATACGGTTTATAATAATAATAATAGACGTCTTTATTTATCCACAATTACATTGTAGTATAGCCAAATGTCAGACTTATATGGCGAAGTTTAGCATGCTGCTACTCTTACACTTAACCATATAGTCTCTAGCAGATGTTCAAAAGAATACACTATCCACAAACAGATTTGGTTCATTACATCGAAAGTAAAATTTAAAAAAAGAGAAAAAGGCATACTTTCCAAACCCAAATGCACCAAAAAATTATTAATCTGAATTAAAGATGGAATAAAAAAGAAATGAATGATTACGTAAATTATATGTGTGGAGGGTTGAGTAATAATGTTTTAACTTTTTGTCGAAAGACAGGTAATGAAAATTCTTTATATACTTTAGGAAGGTCATTATAAATAATAGCAACATTGTAAGAAAAACTGCGTTTAAAAAGCGTAGACGTATGCAGGGGTATTCTAATATTATTTTCTCTGAGAGTTCTACAGTGAATATCATTATTAAATAATTTTTTTTCCTTTAAGTAATAAGGTTTAGACGTGAGCAGCAATTTGTGAACAAAAACTGAATAGTGATACTTGACCATGTCATTAATTTTTAACCAGTTTAGAACGGAATATTTCGCCGATACATGATCAAATTTACGTAAGCCAAAAATGAATCGTATACAATTGTTTTGAATAACTTGAATAACGTTTTTAGTGAAATTGTCTAAACAAGTATAGTATACGATATTACAATAATTTAGTATAGATATGACCAATGCTTCACATAGTTTTTTACGCATCTTAAAATTTAGTAAATACCTGTTTGCTGTAAGAGTGCGCAGCCGTAGGTAGGTTTTCTGAGATAGACTTTTAACATGTTCAATAAACCTTAATTTTGTATCAAAAACAACACCAAGAATTTTTGAAAAATCAGAAAATTGCAAGATTTGGTTATTTATCTGAATGTTCAAGAGCTGTGTTACATTGTATGTTTTTCTTTGTGCGCAAAATAATAACATTTTAGATTTTTGTGGATTAATAAGTAGATTGTGATCTAAAGAGCATTTAATTAATTTATTAACATCGTTTTGTAAAATTTGAGTAGTATTATTGACATTATCTGGGTTAAAATAATGAAGCAATTGCGTATCGTCTGCAAATGACTGGACATGAGAATTATCAATACTTTTGCTTAAGTCGAATGTATATATGAGGAACAGAAGCGGCCCCAATTCAGAGCCCTGAGGTACGCCTGAGGGAATTATTGTCACTTGAGACATTTCTTGATTTAGAAAAACACACTGAGTTCTTTGATGAAGGTAACTGTCGAAAAATGAAAGGGATACACTGTCAAGACCTATGTAATTTAATTTAGCAAATAATAATTTATGATTGATGCTGTCAAAGGCTTTCGAATAGTCTATAGAGATTAAGGCTAGTGCCATTTTCTTATCTAAGGCACTTAAAATATTGTCTTGCAGATTAAGTAGGGCAGGTGTACTATAATTTTTTCTAAATCCGGATTGGGTGTCGGAAAGTATAAAGAATTTTTCTAGGTAAGCGGTCAATTGGAACTTTATAATTTTTTCTAAAATTTTAGATAAAATTGGTAATAAACTGATCATTATACTCAGTGGGTTTCATTTTTTAGGAATTGGAATAATTAGAGCTTGTTTCCATGTGTTTGGAAAGTAGCCTTTTTCCAAACAGTCGTTGAAGATGTGGACGATGTGATGGAGAATAACTGGCAGGCAAAGCTGGATCATTGACAGGGATATACCATCGCATCAGATTTTAGGCTACCTATTGCCTGTAATACGTCATTTGAACTAATCTTATTCAATGAAAAAATATATTCAAAATATGTCAACAAACTAAATACTGTAGATCGGCTGATGAACAGTATTATGGAAGCGACTCAAAATATTCCTCCCGAAACCTACCAAAAAGTAATGGCAAAGGTAATCACGAGGGCTCAGGTTTGGGCGAACATTTGTCTGATATTATTTTTCATACATAATTTCTAAGTTTCAATAAAAGATTAAGATGAAAAAGGTAACGTATTTTATTTAATTTTACAAATATTCAAGATACAAACCAGCCAGTTACATATCGGCCACCCTGTATTTTAAACAAATTGCATAACAGAGAGTGCTACTAAATTTAGTCAATAACTGCAGCTGACATGTGGCATGTCAAAGGTTTTCAATTATACAGGGTGACTTTGAAGTTGAGTCATTAGTTTTCAGATAATGATTGTAGAAGGAAGATAAACCAAAATATGTGTGTAAAAATAAAAAAAAATAAAAAAAATGTTTACCTTGTTTTATAAAGTATCCTCCCAACAAGTATTTCAGTGCGGACCTGTATTTGATCGTGAGGTCTTGGAGCACCGGCATGCCCTCTCCTGTGAGGTCTTAAGTCACCTGATTCACGAGCCCGTTGTACTACATTAACAAAGGCACGAGGGGTTGGTTGCACTCGATTGGGAAACCGATCCGCATAAACATGTGCCATTTTTTATTTCGTCTGAGCCACGCAGCAAACGCCACTATTCACTCACGCGTTACCGACTGACACATCGACTGAATAAAAACATCGTGATCAGCGTTTCAAATTCTTTCGCTTTTTTGTTTCCGATGGGATAAACCGTTAAGGCGGATTATATCCATTGTTGCCAAACACGAGCACATAATATTATTATTGGGACAGGGCGGTACTCAAACTTCTAAAGGGCTATAACTTTGTTACTTTAATTTTACCAGAAAAATGTTAAAGGAAAAAAACATTTCTTTTGATCAGATCTACTCACTGTTAAAATAAATGACTCAACTTCGAAGTCACCCTATATATATCCAGTTGTTCGATTTTCCACAATACAGAATTTCGTTAACACGCTAGTGACTGTATCAGTAACTGAATCTGTCAATAATTGTAATAAATCCTATCAGCTTTCTTTTCAGATACCTACCTCTAAAATCTCATTGATAACGATTTTCTTATCCGCCTGCGTGATGCCTTTACCTAGTTTGAGATTCGCTGAGACCTGCATGGCCTCCTTGACGGTTAAATGAGGTGACAGGCAGTCGTCTTGCATTATGTAGCAGGACATCTTTCTGAATCGCCTCAGACTTCGCTCTTTACCGTTGATATTCACATGGCCATCTAGATTCGACGTTCTGGAAACAGTGAATCGATCAGGTTGAAGAACTCGATATACTCGAAATGTTCGATTTGAATCGGGCTGATTCGAGAATTTCATGTGTCCCGTCATCTGTTGTACTACTTCTTCCATTTATATTCGAAAAATGCCTTTATTCTGTAGGTAGAATGAAAAAAGTCTTCACTGCAGAAAATTAAAGTTATGTGTGACAAGGCGTTATCAATGGGCATAATTATGATACACGGCAAAAATATTTCTCATGTCTCGTATAAAAAAATCACCTGAAAATTCAGGTCAACGTTAAAACAGTTTATCGTCACAAAATATTTTTACAGCATATATGCAAGATACTTTATATTATATTCATTTTAACGTGTCCTCTGTGTTTTTATTCCAATGCAAGCGTACACGTGTTATTGTGATATATGTATAACTTTTTACTGTTTTTTTGTGATACATTGTGACATAGGGTTGTCGGAAAAGTCATGACGCTTTTTTTTGTTTATTTTAAGGCCATTTTATTCATATACAGCACAAACTTCAATCAATAATGTATTGCCCATTTTGATCGATGACCTTTCGCCATCTTTCAGGCAGCTTCATAATTCGTCGCTCGTAGAAGGATTTGTCTTTACCGGCAAAAAATTGAACAAGGTACTGATGTACAGCTTCATCTGAAGTAAAGCGTATTTCTCGCAAGGAATTTTGAAGCGACCGAAACAAATGAAAATCAGATGGGGCAAGATCAGGCGAGTATGCTGGATGTGGTAACACATCCCATCCTAACTCCAATAACTTTTGACGAGTGAGCAAACTTGTGTGCGGTCTCGCGTTGTCATGGTGGAACACAACTCCTTTGCGATTAATGAGCTCCGGACGTTTTTGCATGATGGATTGTTGCAAACTGTCCAATTGCAGACAATACACAGTTGTATCGATGGTTTGGTTCTTTGGCAGGAGTTCGAAAAACACGATCCCTTTAAAATCCCACCAAACAGAGAGCATCACCTTTTCCTGATGACTCTCTGCTTTCGCGATCGTGTTACGCGTATCTACACTTCGGGACCAAGACCGTTTGCGAACCACATTGTTGTAAACAATCCACTTTTCATCTCTCGTTATCAAGCGCTTTAAGAAAGGATCGTTTTCCTCACGTTTAAGGAGCATATCGCAGATGTCTACACGCGCCGTCAAATGAACCTCTCTCAGTTCGTGTGGTACCCAACGATCGAGTTTGCTTACGTATCCCAGTTTCTTCAAATGGTCGTGAACGGTTGAATGATGGATTTTTAAGGTTTCTGCAATTTCCCGTGTGGTGTAATGTGGGTTTGCTCCTATCAATGCCTTTAATTCGTCACTATCCAACTCAGTAGGCCGCCCTGATCGAGGTGCGTCATGGATATCAAAATCCCCATCTCGGAATTCTTTAAACCATCTCTGCTATTGCCGTTCTTGCAGTGCATGTTCTCCATAAGCCTTTCTCAACTTTTCACACGCTTGTCTTGCGTTCTTGCCTTTGCGGAAGTAATACAGCAAAATGTGACGAAAATGCACAGTTTGGTCGTCCATCTTCAACGTCCTCTAAAATCGACGAGACTCAAATAAATCACTTAATTTTTTGGTGCAAATGAAGCTTGAAGTGTCAACAGTCAAACTACACAATCAACATACAAATGTCATTGACTCACGTACTTCCAACCATGCAATTGCATACTTTGTTGCATATACGTCATGACTTTTCCGACAACCAATAGATATACAGGGTGACAGGTGCATAGGTGTAAAACATTTTAGGAGGCGATAGTACAGCTCCTTTGCTATCAAAATTAGTATATAATACCATACCCTATATTCAAAGGTTAAAAAGTTATGGAAGATTTAATTTTTTTTAAAAAAGAACCCAGATTACACAGTAAAATAGTTGAGATAAAAAAAAGTTGGTGATTATACATTCTTTTTTTGGTGGTTTCAGGTTATTATTTAAATAAATAATTCTGATAAAATAAAAAAACATATGAAAACAATACTGAAAACGTATTTATTTTCATTTAAATGTTAAATGAAAATTTTTATTTTCAACTTTCACATTAAGAAATCTTTTTTTTTCAAAAAAATCATAATAAAGAAAATGTACAAATAACTGCAAAAACTTCCTCGTTTCATTAGGTTTCTAAAGTGGTATAATAACCATTTAACAAAACAATATTAGTTTGCTAGAAAGAATGACTAAGCGCATTTCATTGTACTGAGCAGGTAAACCGAGCCTTTCATGGTTCGACCCTTTTTGTTATTTTTTGTGCCCTGTGTCGTTATTCGGGTTTAAGTATTCGGAATCTGTCGTCGCTCCTCGGAAGCAAGCTTTGCGTGTGTTGTGAATTGACACAGCTGACGGATCAAGGAAAGGGAACTAACGCTTAGGTTAGTTAGTAGAATATCAACCTTTAACGCGGTAGGACGTACTTTTAATTTTTTGATCAGTTTTAATAATGGCGAGTTACCGTAACGAAGAATACGCTGATATTCTGTTTTCTTATGGTTTAAGTGATGGAAATTTGGTTGAAGCCAGACGAGAATACGAAAACCGTTTTCCGAATCGGCGAATAGCGAGTCATCGAGTATTTGCTTCTGTGTACCAATGCGTCAAGGAAAGTGGACAGGTTCATGAGAGACGTCATGATGCTGGTAGACCTCGGTTGTTTGACGACGAAGATCGAGAGGCAATACTGGAATGCTACGGCAGAGACCCGACGACGTCTACACGAGTTATAACAAAGCAGCTTGGTTTAACTCAGTGGAAAGTTTGGTTCGTTTTGCATTCGGCGTGACTTTACCCTTTCCATTACACACTGGTTCAAGCATTAGAAGAAGGAGATCCCGCAAGAAGAATTGATTTTTGTCGATACATGCTTCATCGGGATCAAGAAGAAAACGACTATTTAACTAAAATATTGTGGACCGTCGAGTCTAAGTTTGACAGAGAGGGGATAACAAATTATCACAACTTACATTATTGGGCCCCACGAGAGGCAAATCCCCACATGGCAAAGCCAAGAGCCCATCAAAGAAGATTTTCGGCAAACGTGTGGATGGGAATCATTCATACGTATCTAATTGGACCAGTTTTTTTGCCTGACAACCTGAATGGCGAATCCTATGAAAACTTTTTGAGATCCGAACTCTGGAAGTATCTCGAAGACCTGCTTCTGAATATCAGGATGCAGATGATCTACCAACACGATCGCTGTCCCGCGCATTTCCGTCTGGGCGTTAGACAGTGGCTGGACGAGAAATATCCTTGTCGCTGGATTGGCCGAGGTGGACCGACACCGTGGCCAGCGAGGAGCCCAGATTTAACACCGTGTGACTATTATTTATGGGGGCACATGCAGTCACTGGTGTACGTTGAGCCCATAGACACTCTTGCACAGTTGAAAGAAAGAATTATTGCTGCTGCTGACACTATCAGAGGACAACTAACTGGCCGCATCACGCGTACCAACATGAGAAAAAGTCTACGGGCTTGCATAAGAAATGGTGGGCGTCAGTTCGAACAACAATTGCAATGAATTTTACCTTCATTTCATTATTGTATTTTACTTACCAATTGTAGTAACTTTTAGTCAGTTTTTATTATTCTGTAGTACAATTACAACTGTGTAAATAATCTAATCGTGTAACTTAACCGTAGTTTAAAATAATAACTATCCCATAGCGTACAGTTACATTATTTTCACAAAAACACTTTCTTATCAATCAGAGAGTTGTGAAAATAGGAGACGCGCCATTAGAAATGTACTCCCTATTGTTGTATTACAATATATTATGTTTAGTTTCACACAGCTTTGTGCACTTATCATACCAATTTAGATTCCTTATGAAACAAGGATATTATTTAAATTGTTTGTACGTTTTTTTGTATACTGATTTTTTTGTAAAACACCTTACTTACTGTAAAACGTTATTTGTTTTTCTTAGTTAAACATTTTTGAATGAAAATAAATACCTTGTTTGGTATTGCTTTCGAATCTTTTTTAATTTATAATAGTTAATTATTGAAATAATAACACAAAACCACAAAAAACAAATGTTTAGTCGCCAAATTTTTTCTCTCTCGACTTTTTTACTCTGAAATATGGACTGTTTTTAAAAAATCTTAAATCTTCAAGACCTTTTCAACCTTTGAATATAGGGTATGGTATTATATACTAATTTCGATAGCAAAGAGGCTATACTATACCTCCTAAAATGTTTTATACCTATTTACCTGTCACCCTGTATATTTTTGTTGCTTGTACCTGACTTGGGATTGAAATTACTTTTTGTATTTACACATTTCATGGTCGCCCCTACGACAAGAGTATCAAATTGAACGGATTGATGAGACAAATACAGAAAGCTAAGTGACGTCATTCTAAATCCAATATGGCGGCCGCTGCAATATGGCGAGTTGCGTTATGCATAGTCACCTCTCCGACATGGATATCAAATGAAAGGGCTTGATGAGAGAAACACAATAAGCTAGGTGACGTCATTTTAAATCTAATATAGCGACCGCCGCAAAATGGCGAGTTCTTCCCTATGATATTGGTACCACAAAAAAGGGCTTTATGAGAGAAACGGAATGAGTAAAGTGGCGTCATTCTATATCCGCCCCAACATGACATCACCCTTACACTGTGGGTATCAGATGAAAGCACTTGATGAGGAAAACATAAAAATTGAGGTGACGCATTCGAGATACAATATGGTGACCGCCGCTGGATCGCGATTTATATTTTCCGTGGTCATTTTATTGTATAGGGTTCTAAAAGGCTTAATGAGAACAAATAACGTCATTCTAAATTCGATATGGTTATCGATTTGTCATTATGTAATTCATATCTACCAAAATATTATAGTACGAATAAAGTTATAAGTTTTATGGAGAAGTTTATTTTACTAATAAGATATGTGAAAGTCATATAAAAATTACCAATTATTTATTTGACATCATAAATACTGACGAGTAAAAAATAAATAAAAAATACATTTTTGAAAACAAGCTTTTGTCTAGCTGTTCATAACATGAACTAAATATTCAAAAATAATTTATGCGATTGGATTTATTTGAACAATAATGAAGCTCCTTCATCTCAAGGTTTCAAATAAAAACGTGTTTCACCATTTTTCCATCCATCTGTCAAAACGTAACACGCTATTATTTGAAAACAGATGAACGAGCTTCTTATCGTTTAAATATTTCCAATCGGAAAAGTAATTTTAACTTTTTAGTTCATTCTATAAGCATCTAAATAAAAGCTTGTTTTTTCATAATGTATTTTTTCATTTTATTTATTCTCACAGGAAGTACTACTCGTGCATGTAGAGCAAATCAGTCAGGTGTGGTCCTTTTACCGGAACAAAGCAGTTACGTCATATTTAGTAAATTTTAATGTCAAGTGGTACGTAAGTATAGTTTGAAATTCCCTGGTACATTAATTTCGGTAACATTGTACGTTTATTTGTGGTTAATTTTCGTTCTTTTTGCCTCAGTAGTTGCAGTGTTATTTTATAAAAAACAATTTTTTCAAAACTTTGAGGTGTTCTTTTAAGCATTTTGCCAAAAAGGCCGAAACCTCTGGGTCGACAAGCAAAAGAATTCGTCATTGCTTTGACGGAATATTTTGAGACCGAACGAGATCATGGAGCTCCATTATTGCCGTAAGAGAGGTATTAGGTAGTAAATAGAATTTATGTATTTATTAGTCTTGGTATTTTCTGAACAGCGTGTCACTGATGCATTGAAAATAAGTTTGTTAACGGAATCTTATCAATGCAAAGCTGGTAAAGTCCCCAAAGAAAAACTGTCCTCACAAGAAAACTGTCACTGCATTAACTTCATCCAATCAAGCAGCAATTCATGATATACAACATGTATACTAAGTGACATATAAATCCGAACACCCAGTTTAAATGGTTTTATTTTGAAAAATTTTTGTATAAGTACTTAATGAAGCACAATAAGTAAATGATAAAAATTTCAAAATGATTGCACTGCTTTAAAGCCCTTTGACCTTTAATAATGTGTGGATGCACCCTGATGTGCTACGCATTCTCCAATGCGCCTAGGCATGCTTCTGATCAGGTGGTCAATGTCCTCCTATGGTATCTCATTCCACGCAACCATCAACTCCTGTTGAAGTGCTTCTAGAGTCTGAGGAGGACGTTGCAAATTAAGCAATCTCCTACCCATCATATCCCACACGTGCTCAATTGGGGATAAGTCGGGAGATCTTGGTGGCCAAGGTAACAATGTGACATCATTATGTTGAAAGAAGTCTATTGTGACTCTTGCAACATGTGGTCGGGCATTATCTTGTTGGAAAGTTGGATCTGCCAGGGTGTCAAGATAGGGTAAAAGATGGGGTTCTAGAACTTCATGAATATAACGCTGCGCGTTCATGTTACCTCTGATGAAGATTAAAGGTGACCTGGAACCATAAGCTATAGCACCCCAAACCATAATTCCAACAGTGTGATGAACATGTCTTTCAACAAAAAACTGTGGATTCCTCCTTTCACCACGTCGCCTTCTAACCCTGGCACGACCATCGTGCATGCCTACACAAAATCGAGACTCGTCACTAAAGACAATACTGTTCCATTCTTGGTCCCAGAGTGACCGTTGTCTGCACCACTCAAGGCGATTACGTCGTGTTCTCGAGTTAAATGGAGGACCCAGTGTGGCCGGTATGAAAACAAGCCAAAACTTCTCATTCATCGGTAAACACTTCGCATGCCAATAGGTCTTCCGTGTTCTGCAAACCATTCATTTGCAATGGACCTGGTAGTGGAGAAACGGTCCCTTAAGGCTAATAATCTTAGGCGGCGATCTTCACGGTCTGTTGTTCTACGGCGGCGTCCAGTGCCCCTTGCTCTTTGCGTACCGCCTTCTCGAAGCCATGCCTGACAACACCTAACCACAGTGTCTACACTTCTTTGCACTCTAACTGCAATTGCCCGAAAAGAAAGTCCAGCTTCCCGAAGTCCCACTATACGGCCCCTATCAAACTCACTAAGTTGACGAAATCGTACAGGTCTCCGTACTATACGCATCGTAACCGATCGTAAAGGATGTCAATAACCAAAATCCGCTAACGTTGATTCTTTACTGCGGCTGAAATATTCACTTTTAGAGCGTTAGTGAATTAAAGAAAGCAGTATAGAAACCGGAATGTCCAACTGATAAGGCTGACCATTTTTTCACTTGTTATTTACAGTAAGATAAATACATTCACCAAGTTTTATTAAAATAAAACCATTTAAACTGGGTGTTCGGATTTATATGTCACTTAGTATATAAGCGTGTGTGAGTTTTTTAATTTTCACTACATATAATACTAAATATATTACTATAAATATTGTGTTTTAATTTCAGAAGAACATGTTACACTTTCTGCACTGGCAAGTAAACTAAAGGATCGACATTTATTTATGGGTGGAAAAGTAAGTAAATCTTTACGACAAATGGGATTTAAATGGCAAGACATCGAAGAATTAAAGTAGATTTTGTAAAACATCATAGGATCTAGTACTTTTAGTTAATGTGGCAACCATGTGCGTCACTGTCATTTGACGTTGTGACGAAACTACTTTGATTCAGTAAATATATATTACATGTTCAAATATCCATGTGATCTAAAAACATAACGTCCATTTCGTACTTACTTGTAGCCGGCAAGAATGTTCATAAGCGTACTTTTTCCAGCCCCCGAAGGTCCCATGATTCCCGTGAGCTCTCCAGATTTGAATTTCCCGTTGATCCCTTTGAGAATGGTCTTGTAGCCCCTTTTCCTCCCTTCCGAAACAGAGTACGAGAGGTCGGCGAACTCGATGTCCACGGGAGGCCTTTTCGGTAGGTGTGTCAGGGAAATCGTTGGTTTCTTATGACCACCGCTCCCAGGACTACCGCCACCTTTCGACGCGTTCGTCGTGTTGTTGGGGACTTTCCGAAGAGTTGCGCCCCCTGAGCCATTGCACAGATTGTTTTGGGAGCCGCTGAAAATATAGAAAATATGATCAAAACTGGAAGAGAAGAACAGCTGTATAATATAGGGTGGTTGAAGCTAGAACTTTCCTTTAGATGGCTCACAATTTCCTAGTAACACACACATCAAGGTCTAAAAATAATACAAGGTACCGAAAAAAAAGTAGTAAATGCTCTAAACGAGCAATATTTTTGTTGAAGTGGTCAGACAAATATAACAATCATAGCCATATGAACATATTCAAGCGTATGGTTCGGCTATATGTATGTCTGTCAGCTTTATATTGGCGATATAATCTGCAATACGTAGCACGTAAACTTGTGAGTAATTGCCATAAGCAGGACAGCTTACATTACTTACATTATATTGTTTTACATTACATTACATTACATTACATTGCATTGCATTGCGTTGCGTTGCGTTGCGTTGCGTTGCATTGCATTCCATTCCATTGCATTCCATTGCATTCCATTGCATTACATTGCATTACATACATTACATTACATTACATTACATTACATTACATTACATTACATTACATTACATTACATTACATTACATTACATTACATTACATTACATTACATTACATTACATTACATTACAATCCATCACATCACATTACATTACATTATATTACGTTACATTACGTTACATTACATTAGATTACACCACATTACATTACGTTACATTGGATTATAGTACATTACATTACATTAAATGGAATCACAATAGTTCGGTAGCATGACAGCAATATATAAAAATAGGTCAGAAATGTCTAACATGTATTGCAATGTAACCGAGCCATAATGAAAATGTTGCCGTATATTGCTGACTATACTATTGCAGCTAGATAATGCAGTGAAATGATTGCCCGCTTAGAAGGTCCAAACAGATCACTAGGTCAAACGATATGACGTCCGATAGTCTCCAATAAATGTGTAGGTAAGCCGAGTTGTTTGTTTATAGATCGGAACCGAAAATAGCACACTCGTATAGGTGTGTCTTCGCGAATGTATTCAAGTTTCTTGGATGTATCGGTCCCGCTGGTTGTATGTATCTCGTACAAGAAAGTAGAGACCCACAGAGCATTTGAATGTCGAGGTGGACATATGTGAAAACTTAAATCAACCAGCTATAACATAGATAAGTATTATGAGTATCATCTAACAGGCAGGTACGAAAATGTCATATCAAATGAACAGTTACTACTTTTTCACCGCACACTAGCATAGTTGTTTTCGAATAAAGTAATAAACTTCAGAATGCTCTGTGTGTACACACAAAACGGAGGAGCTTGGAATTAAAATTAAACCACCCTCCATAAAACATGAGCAAGTATCGGAGTGTTCTCAATAAAATATCGAGATTGCTCTTTAAACTGTGAGGTAATTATGTTCTAACATTTCTCTTGCGGTTCACTGATGTACTACGTCGTAGTATTGCTATTTTTAATGTGTGTGATGAAAGGAAATTGTAGATTACTTATTTCTAATTGATTCGATATTCATTTGGCATGCATGTGTTTGGACAGGTTTTACTGGATTTGTAGAGGAACAAGGAACAGTGGTCAAGTGGAATAATAAGTGTGCAGCTATATACAAAAGTGCAAGTGTTATTGTCTATGTAGCACATAATTGGCAGATTTGGAAATGTTAATAGAAGATATGTACATTTGTTAAGAAATCACAAAATAGGAGTCACTGCAATGCTTTTATTTTGTCTGATAATCTTTATTCAGGGCTCTTCTTGGCAGCGGTGAACAAAATAATGATAGCTAGAATTCAAAATCCGGAATGTATAGGTTTTTAAAGAAGTAGACGTAACAATTTTAGCAGTTAAAAGTTTCTCGAAACCGAACGTACTTTAATCCACGAATCAGCATAGATATATGTTTTTGAGTTTAGTCTCACCTCTAATCTCCATCAAACTAGAAGATTGATGTTTGTCTTTGATATACCAAATTCTGCTTAATAAACTGTTTGAAGACATAATTGAAATTATAATTTACAAACTTTCTGTGAGAAAAGCCACGTTTCTTTCTAACAATTTATATGTTCAACACGTGTTGAGAGCTAATTTTCCTGGCTTATAACAATAATACTGCTGACACCATGACAAGCTACAGTATATTCAGATAAGAGATAGACCGGATGTAAACAAAAGGTTCGGGTGACTTTTCACGCTAACGCCGCCGTCTCGACGTAAAACAGGAGCCCTCATTGGTCAATTCGCAATTAAATGCCTATGCCGAGCGGCAGAGCAGTCGTATCGAGGCAGAGTCACATTCAGGTTCAGACGTGTTACGTATGTCGTGTGCATCATTGCAATTTGATATTTCTTTGGACGTTTTCGTTTGTTATCTTATTAAGTTGTTGAGTTTGTCGTTGTTATTGTTATACCTTGTTATTGATTGTTATTGTTATCAACTGCTTGCGCAAAATGCCCAGTAGTACAGATACTGCCGATGAAGCTGTAAACTCCTGTAGTCCACCTAGGAAACGCTCTAAAAAAAGACACCTGAGTGCAGAAATGAAAGAGGTCATTTTGAATATATATAAGATCGAGCGCGAGGAGAACGAGGCATCAACCATCAAGGAAATTGTTGTGAAGGTTTCTCACAAAGTTGGGGTGTGTCGCGCATCAGTGTTTAATGTGTTAAGACAATACAAAAAAAATCACACCTTTTCTGAGCCAATGACCAGTAAACATCGCAAAAGTATTGTTAAATCATTGGATGAAGCTGATAAGCATGCGATTAGGAGGAAAGTGCATGAATTCTTCTTTAGGAATGAAATACCTACTATAGATAAAGTACTGCAGGAGGTAAATGGAGATACAACGTTGCCAACTTTCAAACGATCAACTTTCCATGCGTTACTGAAGCATTTAAATTTCAAATGGAAAAAACGGGGTCGTAATAGTTTACTACTGGATAGAGAAGAAATTGTGCTATGGAGGAGGGATTATTTAACATAAATTGGGAAATATAGAAATCAAAACAGGAAGATTTATTACCTTGATGAAACGTGGGTAAACGCAGGACACACTACAAGTAAAGTATGGGTTGATGATTCTGTAACTTCATCCAGGAGGGCCTTTCTAGATGGACTGTCCACCGGATTAAAAAATCCAGCAGGTAAATACGAGTAATAGACAACAACCGGATGTTTTTCAAACCTTGGGAACAAGGTTCTAAACATTAATTCCAGGGGGCAGATAAAACATATTACAAGTAACAAAACTTTTATAACTTTCGTGGATGTTTTATTGTCATTTTCATTTGTTAGAACTTTGCCATGTTTTTATGTGTTTTAGATATTTCAATAATTTTTTAATATAATCTTAAAATATGTCGAATATTATAAACTTAAAAAAAGTTACTAAGTTTTATATTGTGTACCATTCCTAATATTTCTAATCATTTTAATTCATACTTTAAGCTTTATAAAGTTATAATTTGTTAATATTAATATTTGCGCGTATTTCAGGTTCCTGATCATTCATTTTTTAAAGGTTTATAACTTTAAATTAAATTGTGAAGCGCTGAGTAATCATACGACGTTCAATATTCTTTCTTTCAATATGACTAAATAATCCCAATTATAGCAATCTGATACTCATGTCTCAATGTTTTTTCGCTGAATGTGATGAAAACATTTGAAAAAGGTTCGCTTATTGAAATAAATCTACACCAGTTAGTACTTCGATTTCCAGGTAAAGGGAAAAGGCTCATTATCTGCCATATTGGCAGTGAGGATGGATTTGTTGTTGACGGTCTGTGGTGCTTTGAGTCTAAGAAAACTGGAGATTACCACGAGGAAATGAATGGCGAATCGTTTGAACAGTGGTTTTCAAAAATTTTACCGAACTTAGAGGAAAACGCAGTAATTGTGTTGGATAATGCGCCTTATCATTCTCGAAGAATGGAGAAGGTCCCAACAACGGCTTCAAGGAAAGTTGATGTTCAAAATTGGCTCCGCTCGAAAAATATCAACTTTGAAGAAGCAATGCTGAAAGTACAATTATTAAGAATTGTCAAGGATCACAAGGCGGAATATCAAAAATACGCCATTGACGAAATGGCAGCAAGTCAAAATAAAACTGTGCTCCGTTTACCTCCATACCATTGCGAGCTCAATCCCATTGAGCTCATATGGGCAGAGGTTAAAAATTATATTGCTAAGCACAATACAACTTTTAAATTTGGTGACCTCAAAGGACTTTTCAAAGAAGCACTAGAATTAATAACAGCGCAAAAATGGGAAAACTGTATTAAGCACGTGAAAGACAAAGTTGAAAAGAGAATGTGGGAACTGGACAATATTTTAGAGGAACAAGTCGAGCCATTCATTATTGACGTTGGTGCTTCAGGCAGTAGCGATGATGAAAGCTCATCAAGCTCATCTTTCCAATAAAAGATGTCGTTCATCAAATTCGGTAAGTTATAAGTAATTATAAAGCTACTGTATTTTTTAATTAATTATTGACATTTTTGAACCCATTTTGGCAAAACCTATTCAAGAATCTACTTTCTGACAATGTTCAACCATGCACTTTTTTTTACGTTTTGAACGTTTTAATTTGGTTACATATTTACCTAGAAATCAAAAAATATACTAATCAATATTCTAAAAGCAATTTTAAGAGATATACGATTATTTTTAATTTAGGCTAATTTAAACGCCATTTTGAGATTATATTCGACTGTATTTCACCAAACATCAGGCGGCATCCGAAGCTGGAAATCGAAGCGAAAATTTTGAAACCCTTATGTATATTTACATCATTATATATTTCTTACCCCACCCCCACATGATCCTATATCCATCACCAATCGTATAACATCGAATTGTGCTAATTTACTACAAAGTTACGCAAAGCAGCATCTACTATCTAAAATATGTACTGCGTGACTCTTAATACGTCCCTGCCGAATGTTACAGCGTTCGATGATCACGTGGTCTTGTTTATGTCCGGTCTATCTCTTATCTGAATATACTTTAGTCTAATAGAGGGCGTGTGGAACGACGACGCCATTTTCAACCCTAGGTCGGTAGATGGCGCTAGCGATATTATTGTGATAAGCCAGAAAAATTAGCTACAAACACGTGTAGAGCATGAAAGTAGTTTGAAAGAGACAGGGTTTTTCGCACGGTAGTCAAGTAAATTGAATATTTTCTCGATGATTGTTGAGGAATAAGCATAATGTAATTTTATTTGTCTTCAAAGCGTTTATTAGGCAGAATTTGGTACATGATCTAGTTTGACTGACCTGTTATAAGCCTATAAAGAGAAAAAACATGTTTTTGTAGCTAAATTTAATGGGCATGTTGATAGACTGTTAAAAATATATCTATTTTTAGATTATCTCTGACAGGTAATTCAGTAATTGCTGTCATATCAATCTAGATGCAATTATTAGATTTGGTCCATGCTTCGAGTAAGTTATACATCCTAATTCCGGTTTATTTAGTGGATAAGTTGATTTCTCGTGGAAACCAAATTACCCTAAATCTCGGGCACAATGATCTACTTTCTATTACTGTGCATGGTACGTCAGTTTTTGAAAGGCCGTTTACTTATAATGCGATCAAAATACAGCAGACGCTCGATAACGTAAACACGGGATAATGAAAACTTGCGCTAATGTAAACACAAACTTCGTTCTATAGGATCAAACGGAACGCGCGATAACGTAAACAATGTGTACGTTCGATAACGTAAACAACACTCGGCGCACGGAAACAGCGCGACGGTAAAATGCTGAAGCCTCGATGATTTATGTCGGGCGTCGGGGAGTCCCCGATTTATGATGTAGAGTGTAGGGGATTCACCTCTGCGATAAAATGCGACAAACTCGGTCAGTCGGATGATCATTTAGGATACGTTTATACGTACGTATGTATTTCATTTTTGAACTTAAGTGCACGCGTTAAAATATTTTACGACTATGGCATCCACATCCTATAAAAGAAAGTGTTTAAAGTTGAGTGAGAAAGTGAAAATCATAGACGAAGTTGCACTAGGTGCGGGAGTGACACAGTTAGCAAAAAAATATGGAGTATCGAAAGCAACAATCTGTAAAATTAAGCGTATGAAAACTCAAATTTTACAAAGAACGTGCAATACATTTGGAGGTCCGGGAAAAAGAAAAACTTTAAAAAATTAGAAGGCACCTAAAGTGGAAAATTCCCTGTATAAGTGGTTTTTAAAACAACGGGAAAATCATGTCCCAGTTAGTGGCGAAGTACTTAAACAGAGAGCGAGACTGTTGAATGAAAAACTGAAAGAAAATTTCGTAGCTAGTGATGGCTGGCTACAACGATTCAAAACAAGATTTGGAATTCGACTGCTGTCTATACCTGTTCAAAAACCGCTTGGATGACTAGCAGTATATTCCTGAAATGGTTCCACTGGTGCTTTGTCCCTCAGGTATGACAATCAATTATCACAAATGCTCTATTCATAATTTGAAGATGTGTTTTCAATTTGTAGGTAAAAGGTTTCCTAACACAACAGAAGCTTCCAATAAAAGCGTTGTTACTATTGGATAATGCACCAAGTCATCCTCCCGAGCAACAACTGAGGAGCAGGGATGGGTCAATTTTCGTCATGTACATGCCGCCCAACGTAACACCGTTAATTCAACCGATGGACCAGAATATAATAAGACTCACCAAACTATACTATAGGAAGTTTCTACTTTCGTCTGTCTTATCAAAGAATCCTGAAAACTTATCTGAGGCTTTAAAAAAAGTAACATTACGAGAAGCTGTTTTAGATTTACATATGGTCTGGAATGAACTTAACCAGCAAACTATTCAAAAATGTTGGAACAATCTCTTTTGTACCAATAATGAAGATGATGAAGACGACGATATCCCCTTAAGCGTAATTAGAGACCGTTTGCGATCCAATAAGGATAATGTTATTAGTGTGTCATTGGATGTTGTTGATTTATTGAAAACAGTGAATCCCAACATTGTTTGTACCCCTGCTGATATTAATTCATGGAACGAAGATAAGCAGACGAATGATGCTGATAAGGAGGAGGATATGGACAGTGAGGGTGATGAGAACGATCCCATTGAAGTCAGAAATGTAGTGACTGACGCGCAAGCTATACAAGTTTTTAACCAAGCTTTAGATTGGGCTGAAAGAAAAGAAGTTTCATACACTGATATTTCAGTTCTTCGTAAATTACGGGCGCAGGCATTGGAATACAATGCTAAGCGCAAATTTACGCAGACAAAAATTGTTTTATTTTTCTTCTAATTAAAAAAATACTTATCGCTGTTAGAATATTTGTTTATTTTGTTATAAATAGTATGTATTAAACGTTTCTTTTAATAAATCAAATATTATATAAATCACGTTCGCTAATGTAAACATTTCGATAATGTGAACCTCGCTTGGATTAAATTAGCTTACATTATCGAGCGTCTGCTGTATATAGATCTTTATAACCTAACTCTAAAGCCTTATGTTTGCAGAGCCCAAGAAGACACTCCAGTTACGCTTTCTGGGCTCAGCACATTGTGTTCATATTTTGTATTAATTCCTTCTCTCAACTTCTTACTGTTATCTGATTCATGTTTTGTGATGTTCGGTTGTAGCATAGTTAGGTGGTATGGTAGCCATACTACTGCCTTTCACGTCCAGTATCTCTAACTCGTCGATTTCGGCCTTTTTGGAACCATGCTCGACAACATCTTAGTTCAGTAGTACCGTCTCACCCCATTAGCGATTTTACTAAAATAAAATCCGGCCTCACCTAACCCGATTATCAGACACCTCTCAAACTCGGGAAGTTGAGAGGAATTAGCGCGTCCGGGAAGTTTAGGCATGATAATGCAATGAAACAACAATGAAACAAATGGAAGCTACACCGAAAGATCACTGAATATTAAGTAAACATGTTCATATTGTTCGGATTCTGATATGACAAAAACGCCTTTACAGAAAAAGTACCGCTCGGAATGCCTTCAATATGTTATCAGCGTATACTTCCATGATAGCAAATACGTTTACAAGTTTTTATCAAAGTTCAATAAGTAATTCTGGGTGATGCATTTCATATGTCACTCAATATGTTTCGTTAACTACACACCTGAGCACTGAAGCATTGTTGAGCGATTCGATCTCCTTAAGAGCGATCGGAGGTGGTGAGCAAACTGACCGGGTGGTGGCGCTGCTGTAGCTCACCGATTCGTTGACGTCATCCCCGTCCAACTCAAGGTGTATTTTGACGCCACCTCCGCTTTTGGAGTCCCCATCCCCATCCATCACTGATCAAGCTGGTTCAGTGTCATCAATCGATGATGTTGATGAAACTATAAACTTCTTGTTTTCCTGGAATAGAAAAATCATCTCGATCAAAATGGTTGTCATTGGATCTCAACAGGAGGTTTCGCAATCCTGCTCACAAGTCAGTGCATCTAATCAATGATTTAGTTTTGTCACGTCTAACAAAGTTCGTATAGTATAGTTAATCTATATCTTGAAATTTTTTACCGCCTTTGGAAATACTTCGAAAATCAAAATCTTCTTTTTTCTACATGAACACGCAACTTGTCGATTTCAGAGACCTCGTTTCAAAGTGTCAGTGATGGGAGATTAATTTAAATCATCCTGAATATGATGGAGTGACAGTGAATCTTCCACTCTACGGCCAAGGTTCAAGTGTTTCCAAAACTTGGGGTAAAAGTTCAAGGGCTGATTATTTGTTCCATTTTTTGAAGTATAGTTTCAAAAACTCGATTCGTTTTGAAGATATCGGGTAAGCAGAATTTTCGCAATAGCTGTTTAAAAGAATTTTTTGGAGTAACCATCTCCAGATCAATAAAATAATATAATAATAATAATATTTATACAAAATGTTTACAAACAACATTTAATAAAAACGAACGATGCCATAGAAATTAATACAAGTCCCTTGTGCGTGGGCCATGTGACTGTTTACAATACATTTAATTTTCATACCTTACACAACCTAAAGATCTAAAGGGAACACATTCATTATTACAGGGTGTTCTAAAAATAGACGGAGATATTTAAAAGGCTGATTCCTTGTTAAGAAATATGAAAAAAAGCTTCTATAAACATGGGTCCGGAAATAAGTTTTCAATATACAGGGCGATAAATTTAACATTTTTTTAAATAAATGTAAACTAAAAAATTACAAGACTAATTCTTTTCTAGAAGAACTGACGCGCAAGTGTCAAACATCCATGCAGAAATGATTTTTTGTTTTCCAAAGCACTTGTGATTTTTCTGGTTAAAAGATATAAATAATAGTCCAGGGACATGCAATAAAATGGTTTTTATTTATTTTTTCTAGAAAAGCGAGAAAAAATACAAGAGACAAAGAAGTTGTATTTTTAGATGCTTTATCAAACAACAAATGGACGGCTTTTTGCAGAAAGGAACCAATCCACTGAAAATATGAAGACGTATACACCGATCACCGAATGTTTTTGTTAAAACATGTATATACGTACTGAAGTTTTTGAGTGTAACCCAAAAAGGGACGATCCTGATGTAACTAAATGACTTCGGTAGTATATAATAATAATAAACCGTCTTTTATTTATAACTGGTGATTTTTTAAGAGGTATAGGATCTGATTTTCAAAAAAGAAACACAAAAAATTTGGAAAAACGATTAAATCTTTATTTGAGTCGATATAACGGTCGATATAATTTAATGTTTAAAGATTATTTCATGTAAATGTTGGCCGCGGCTCCGCTTTAGATGGCCCATGCGCAAGGTCCAATTTTGGCACACTCTCTCCAACATATCGGCTGGTATCTCACGAATAAATGCTTCAATATTGGCTTCCAGTGCGTCAATCGTTGCTGGTTTATCCCTGTAGACTTTAGCCTCAACATGGCCCCACAAGAAATAGTCCAACGGCGTTAAATCACACGATCTAGGCGGCCAATTGACGGGCCCCAAACGTGAGATAAACTGTTCACCGAACTCGCCTCTCAATAGGGCCATTGTTTCGTGTGCGGTGTGGCATGTGGCACCGTCTTGTTGAAACCACACGTCAGCCAAGTCCATTTTGGGCAGAAAAAAGTTTGTTATCATCGCACGGTAGCGTTCGCCATTCACAGTTACGTTCCGGCCATTGTCGTCTTTGAAGAAGTACGGCCCGATGATGCCACCGGCCCATAATCCACACCAAACTGTGATTTTTTCGGGATGCATTGGTAGCTCTTGCAATGCTTCTGGCTGGTCTTCACTCCAGATGCGGCAATTTTGCTTGTTAACGTACCCATTCAACCAGAAATGAGCTTCGTCGCTGAACACAGTTTTTCGATAAAAATGTGGATCTTCCTCCAACTTTGCCAGCGCCCATGGTTGAATTATAGACCAAACTGAACAAGTTTGACAATGACACAAGACACGAGTCACGCGTCATCTGTCAAAAACAGTGTTGCCAAAAAGATACTAGCAAAAAAATCACCCATTATGACGCATGCTATTGTAGTCTTCGGCATCCACTCCACCCTCCATCCTTTAAAATTCGCACTTGCCGCATCTGTACGTTTTTTGGCGAAATACGCATCGATTTACCGCCGCTTGACGCTGTAAACGGCGATGCACGTGACCTGCCGATGCAGGTTAGATGGATAGATTATCTACCGGAGACTAAAAACAGCACTGCTGATTTTGCCTGAGTGTAACTTTTAGTTACCTATTATAACGTGCCATTCATATACTGATTTAAATTCTAGTAAAATTCATACGAGTTGATGATTCCGAACATAATACGCATTTAATAACATAATTGACGACTTATAATTATGTAATTTATTGCTTGCAGATGTAAAAAGCAACCGGTGGTTATCGTGACAAGGAGAAAAGGTTAAGTTGTTGATATAATTATATGTACTTTCATTGATTTTTTTTTAATTGACAACATAAAATTCTGTTTATGAGGAATTATTAAACTGATTTTTCTTGTTATCCAGTATTAAACGATTTCATTCATCCGTAATGTCCTTCTAAAGGTCCTATGTCACTATATCAAATTTGTGCTAAAATTTGTACAACGTTAAGGATAGTGTCAGAGGCATTAAGTATATAATTTTTGATGAACAAATTTTGAGCAAAATTCTTTAGAACCTGATTGACACTGAAAGTGCGAAAAGGCGTACTGCGAATTTTAAGTGTATAGTGACCAGTCATTTGAAGACCGGGTTTGGATTCGGGATACGTAGCAGCAGTAGAATGGGAAAACCATGAAACCCACTGAGCAACTAAAAGTGTTTGTCATTGTGACATTTCGAAGTTGACGTAAGGTAAATATAGTATTTTTTGCCCGAATTGAGAAAGCGATTCAGTAACACATTTTTGCCAAAAACAAAGGACCTCACACAAAAACATTAGGAAAATGGGTCCCAGTGGATCTGTCTAGAAATCCAGTATGAAATATTTCCCATCTGCCTGAGCAAAAGCTATGCTACGCCCAAGCCAATCATATGATTAGTTTCTGAGAAATAGGGCCACAACGTTTGGCTGAGTTGCAAAAAATGGTGCATGTGCCGATTGTAGTTTTAAGACCAAAAACTCGGAAAATCGGGTTAGTAGAGGAAATCTTTCATTAAAATACCTTAAAGAGAGGTGTAATGTTGATCGTGACAATGATTCAAGGACAACTTGATTCTCAGATTTTAATGCTGGAATGGTTCTGACAAGGGGTGGTCGAGCATTTGGTTAACTCAATAGGAATGTTCACCTCTCAAAAGCACAGAAAGGTCATGGTTGTTCCCTTGTCTATGGTTATTTATCTATTATTACAAGGTCAAAAGAAGGCTAAGTTCATTTTGAAGATAAAATAGGGGGCATTGGAGTGAATATTTTTCTAAGTTAAATCAACAGTTCTACTTTACACTAGCCAGTAAATGAAACCACAAAAGTCGAATGGACTAGTTTAGTGACTTATCGGCTACCTCGGCAGCCTTTTCCAAGGTACAAATCAAATTACTGGCATATAAGTTTATGAAATTGATAAACAATTAAACAATGACAGAGCATTCATTTATTATATTAAACTATATACACTAAGTGACATATAAATCGGAACACCCAGTTTAAATGGTTTTATTTTAATAAAATTTTGTATAAGTACTTAATGAAGCATAATAAGTAAATGATAAAAATTTCAAAATGATTGCACTGCTTTAAAGCCCTTTAATAATGTGTGGATGCACCCTGATGTGCTACGCATTCTCCAACGCGCCTAGGCATGCTTCTGATCAGGTGGTCAATGTCCTCCTGTGGTATCTCATTCCAGGCAACCACCAACTCCTCTCGAAGTGCTTCTAGAGTCTGAGGAGGACGTTGCAAATTGAGCAATCTCCTACCCATCATATCCCACACGTGCTCAATTGGGGATAAGTCGGGAGATCTTGGTGGCCATGGTAACAATGTGACATCATTATGTTGAAAGAAGTCTATTGTGACTCTTGCAACATGTGGTCGGGCATTATCTTGTTGGAAAGTTGGATCTGCCAGGGTGTCAAGATAGGGTAAAAGATGGGGTTCTAGAACTTCGTGGATACAACGCTGCGCGTTCATGTTACCTCTGATGAAGATTAAAGGTGACCTGGAACCATAAGCTATAGCACCCCAAACCATAACTCCAACAGTGTGATGAACATGTCTTTCAACAAAAAACTGTGGATTCTTCCTTTCACCACGTCACCTTCTAACCCTGGCACGACCATCGTGCATGCCTAAACAAAATCGAGACTCGTCACTAAAGACAATACTGTTCCATTCCTGATCCCAGAGTGACCGTTGTCTGCACCACTCAAGGCGATTACATCGGCGTTCTCGAGTTAAAGGGAGGACCCAGTGTGGCCGGTATGAAAACAAGCCAAAACTTCTCATTCGTCGATAAACACTTCGCATGCCAATAGGTCTTCCGTGTTCTGCAAACCATTCATTTGCAATGGACCTGGTAGTGGAGAAACGGTCCCTTAAGGCCAATAATCTTAGGCGGCGATCTTGACGGTCTGTTGTTCTACGGCGGCGTCCAGTGCCCCTTGCCCTTTGCGTACGGCCTTCTCGAAGCCATGCCTGTCAACACCTAACCACAGTGTCTACACTTCTTTCCACTCTAACTGCAATTGCCCGAAAAGAAAGTCCAGCTTCCCGAAGTCCCACTATACGGCCCCTATCAAACTCACTAAGTTGACGAAATCGTACAGGTCTCCGTACTCTAGGCATCGTAACCGATCGTAAAGGATGTCAAGAACCAAAATCCGCCAACGTTGATTCTTTACTGCGACTGAAATATTCATTTTTAGAGCGTTAGTGAATTAAAAAAAAGCAGTATAAAAACCGGAATGTCCAACTGATAAGGCTGAAAATTTTTTCACTTGTTATTTACAGTAAGATAAATACATTCACCAACTTTTATTAAAATAAAACCATTTAAACTGGGTGTTCGGATTT